ATATATTCAAATATAGATAAAAAATTATTGTCAGTGCCTGTTCTGCACAGGATGAGAATAGATGTATAGAGGGCCCAGTAAGGACTGAGGGCACAGTGTCAGTGCATGCCTGAGACCACACCCATGGTTCATCCTTATGCAGCAGCTGGCAGAGTGGGGCTATGGTGGTGGAGTAGTGAGGGAGGAACTTTAAATAACAGCCCATCATACCCAGGAAGGAGGCAGGCTGAGCAGCAGAGCTGAGCTTGGGGATGGCTAAAACGGTGTCCACATTAGATTGGAGTGGAGTGATGCCACCTGCTGACAAATAGAACCTCAAATACTTAATAGCTGGCACAGAGAGGACACACCTGTCAGCTGTTTCAGCAATGGGCCCATGCATTACAACATCATCGTGGTAGTTCATGACACCTGGAATACCAGCCAGCATAGTGACCATGACCTTCTGGAAGCAGAGCTTAACGGCCTACGGGTGTACTGGAACATGGCCACATGTGTCATGAAGGCAGTCATAGCTCATTTAGAAAAAATAATCCAGCACGAGTTCAGTTCTCACAGTTTTATTCTATGTTCACTGGGTTAGGATAAACAAAGATACTTTTTATTACAAACCATGCTTTTAATGGTCTGTTTAATTGATTCCCATAATTTGGTGAAAGTTCAACAGACGATCTGGTGTTCCAGATCCAGTTCTCCAGCTAACGTGTCCAACGTGCAACCACTTTCTCAATATTCCTTGTCTTGTATAGTGTTTAATACAGTGTTATTAACAGTCAGCAAACACTGTGAAACTTGGAGGAACAAACTGTTAAACATGACAGACTGTGCTGCTTATTTATTCATGTCTTGTTATAACAGTGTAATTCTTTATTACATCAAAATGAATAATAACTGCTGCTGGTGAAGACTGTACTGTCCTGTATATTTTCATGCTGACTCCTATGAACAAACACAAATAAACAGCTGTAAATAGAGTAAATTTAATCAACAGGAAATCTAATCTAAGTGTTTTCCATAAAAGGTCAGAAAATGTGGGCTAATCTCAGTTCTCATTTCTGGGTCCCGGTGGAGGCCAGTAGTGTAGATGCTCCGTTGCCATAGACTCCATCATTACAGTGCTCCACTCGGGTCTTCTTCATCTCCTACCATTCAAAAATAACAAACCATTACACCTTTTAAACCATGTTTTAGGCACATTTTTTAGAATTTCGCTCTGTTGTTTATACAGATGAATGAAACAGACTGAAGGTAAGAATTTAATACCTCGGTCAGTGCGGGTTTATGCACACAGTGAATGTACGGTTTGGGTTCTTTCTCAATCTCCCCACCGTACAGCTTGTAGCAAACGGCACAGTCAATAAGAGGCTGTACAAACCAGAAACAAATAAGAGAGGCTGTATTATACTGCGAAATAAACCACATGGTTTTACTTAATATAACATGCCCTACTGATTCTACCTTGTTTATAACTTATACAGTTAACCTCACAGTGTATATATGAATCATTCTACCAAATTGGTTCAAAATCAAAATAGAAAGACATTTCTTTTAATTGACTTGGACTGTAGACTAAATTTCTGTTGCTTTTAGTGACACTATACCTTAATATGTCTGTTTTATTAAAATGTTTGAAATTTATATTTTGTCACTATCAAAACAATCATAACACCACCAAAACTTTACCAAATGTTTGGTAGTGACAAATCTGGCAGTGACTGTTTTGGTAGTGACAAATTTAGAAAAATGCTAATCAGTACATGACTAGCAAACACAGCATTGAACAGTTTTACTCACATAAAATCACAATATTTTTCATGAAAACATAAAAGTACTTAATATCAGAAAAAAATGTTTTTCAGTAGTGACAATCCTTACACACTGATTTTCAGACTTTGGGACACATTTACTTCAAAACAATGAGATCTAACTGCTCACCATGTGGCCATGAGGGACAGGGATACAGTCTTACTTCCTACTCTAAAATGCAGGGGTGGGGCTAAAATAAGGCCCAGCCTATGGACTAAAACCCTTTGTGTTTCAGTAGTGATGTGAACATAGGACAGCAAAAGTTATTTAAACATTAAACTCATGAAAAATCTTTTAACTTCATTTTAGAAGAAATAAAAGAGGTCATTAAAAAGGAAAAGCAAAAAAAAAGGTAAGGATTATTTTCGCAAGTTGAAATGTATAGGTTAGCATTTGGGACAGCCACCACCCAATAGAAAGCACCCTATCAGTGCTCATTCTGTATATGTTCAGCTTATTACTATCTCAATATATCTCTTGGGTTTAAGTAGATTGTTACATAATCCTTGTACTTATCTAAGGTCTAAAAACTTGTTTTATTAAATATTTCTATATACTGCAGATTGAACCAGTTTGGTAGAATGGTCCATATAGTATTTACACATCTAATGACACGTGTGACTACAATAAATACAACAAATTGGTGTTAGCTGTGGATTTAAAATAACATAAATGCATCATTGACATCTTAAACTGGCATCTACAGTTTGACTCCAGCGTCTATTCGCTCGTCCTGAGCCTGCGTAGGTTGGACTTTAGCCTGAATGATGAATACTCACTTACTCATTTCTGAGAACTCAATTGATTTTGAACAATAAACACTCACTCGATCGTTCCTGAAAGCACATTTCTTCGGATCTGCTTTAGTGGTTCCACGGCTGCATTTTGTGGCTTTGAGGTAGAAATGTTGGTAAATGTAGTTCACATCAAATCCTGCCTGCAGAGCAAAAACAGCATTCTGGACTTAACCTACGGTCATTTCCTCCCAGCACTGAAACAACAGCCTCTGATGATGTTTAGAATTGAAGCACAATCAGTAAAATATGAACTTCTTTCAGACGTACAACTCTGACATTACATTATAACATTATTACAAAAGTATTAAAAACAGAACAGGTACCTCAATGCTGGACTTCTCGATACTTTTGAAGAAGAGAAAATGGTGCTGCAGTCCTGTGTGTGAGTTGACCTGCTGTACTGCGAGTTCTACTCCTTTCTTAAATGACTCGGGGAGTTTACTGAAGTCATTTTGAGCCTCAGAACCCAGAAAGAACGCAGCAACAAAGAACACGGCACACACAGACACCGCCATCTTTCACTCTGAGCCTCTTCAGAGCTGTGAACATGTTAAACATTAACCCCCCCCAAAACAAGCCCTGACCTGCAGGATGTTCCACTTGTTTTTGGAACAGAGTTGAGCAACACTGAGCGGCCTTTGTTCCGTTTTCCTCTCATTGAGCTCAGAGAGTTCAGTGTTTACTCAGAGTAACACTGCAAAAGGAACCACCAGAATAGTGAAAGTAAAGAGAACATCAGTTAGTCACCAAGACATTTCATATTCTATATTTAAAAATTGATTATCTTTATTTATCTAAAGAAGTACAAGCTATTCAAAAAGAAAAATTCTTTAAGTGTTCTTAAGTAAAGGTGGTTCTCTTTAGAATCATTCTACTAGAGTTCTATATAGAACCATTTTATGTTTAAATGGTTCTATATAGAACTCATGGTTCTAGAACCATTGCCTTCCTCAAAGACCACTTGAAGAAGCATCTTTTTTAAGTATGTACATTAACAGTGTTGTTGTGCACAGTGGAAAAACTAATCACAGATGAAAATAACTTTAATATATTCCATTAACACTTTCTTTTACAGCCCCCTAATTTTGAGTAAATTGTTGCAGTCACACTAAATTACACCGTAATACCCAACAGATTCTAGATGTAAAGCGGATAAGGGACATATTCATTTTATAATTATTTGGCGTGATGGTAAATATAAACTCACACTGTATTTCACTGTAATATGTTTGTTTAAGCAGGAAAGTAAATCAGAAAAATCTCTAAAGTGCAAGTAATTAATTTGAGTAAAAGCCATTACAAAGACATTAGAAGGCATTTGAGTCTTATATACAGTATTACTGTTTGTTATCTAGAACTGAAACTGAAACTGTAAAAGAGTGCAGTGATTCTTACTGTGGTTTTACTGGGTTTTTAAAGATATTACTATTTACTTTCCTGGCACAATGAATCATATTTACCACCTCCTCCAAATAATGATCCAATTATGAGATATTTACTGTGTCCTTTATCTGCTTAATAGCTAGAACCTGTTTGGCATTTCAGTGTAATTTAGTGAAAATGACTTGAAACTCACCATTATGATACATTATTTTAACTAGCTCTTTGTTTGCAGTGTTTGCAGTGTTTGATAATTTACCACATCATGATTCAAATAAAAAAATAGAAATGTATGAAAAACACCCAAGCATTCGACACAGACAGTGTCCCTCCGATGATGGAAAAATTGAACTCCTCTACTGTAGACCGTCACCATGTCTGGTAGAATAGATTCGAGATAACCATAAACAAGTCCTTGTCTCATGTCGCAGCATCCTTCTCAAGGATCATCAAGCCTCACAGAGACACAAAATGTATGAAAAGGACCCATTCATGATTTCTATTACAATATACCCCAAAAACTAAGAAAAGAAGACCACACAAGAATATACTTCTTACACACATTCCTAATTGTAAAAAAATATATTCTTAAGTGAAATATTTTGTATTAAAAACACTGATGGTGACAGTTTTGATGGCCTACCAGGAGGTTTGTTAGGAGTCCCATTTACTTTCTTTTTTGAACACCAGTTTTGGAAACTCCAAAACTTTGACATTCTCTTTTTTTGTATACAAGTAGAGTACATTCTTTATTCATCTAATCTCCTATCCTCACAGTAGTTTGTAATTAATATAAAGAAATGATGATAATATCAGTGTTTGGTCTTTTATTTTTAAGTGTTTAGAGGTGGTGCTAATGAGTGTGGAGGTTTATTGTTTATGATGGTGACTTTGTGTAAAGCCTGTGTTCATGTGCGTAATTGTCAGATTAATAAAAAAAAATAAACTGAACTAGAACACTGCTTTCAGATGATGTGGATAATTTAAGTTTACACAAACATCTCAGACATCAACAAATAGAAAAAAACGATTTATTTGACATCAAAATTTAATCTTTGCAGCAAATACTGTACATATTTTTTTAAACTCTGAACACATCAACATGCTGCAGTAGAGCAGTAAATGATTTATTCCCCTTTAATACAAATCAAAAATATCTAATAACTAATAACACTGCTAAAATTTTAAAAAATAAAGTTCTGAAATATAGAAGTGGCGTTTATTGTCTTGTAGTGTAATGTCAACAAACAAACAAAATAAAAACACAACAGAAAGGCCCATATTTCTTTCAGCTCACCACAGAACATTCAGACTTTATTCATTACAATCAGATTTGACTCCAACTTTCACAAATTCAGTCAAATGTCACCTGTTTTGATTTGTTATTAACTGATATGAATAGGTATGATGATTATATAGATAAACCCAGTAATGAATCAGCTAAATAAGTAAAGCAGATCTATTTTTGAACACTCCACTTTACTGACTTTATGATCCATAGTGCGTACCTGATTACAAAGGAAACAGTAACAAGAATGCTTGTACACTTATTAATAACTTATATTCCATAATAACTTACGCAAGAAATTATTTTAATAAAATAAGATTGTCTTCTACACAGAGTTGTTTCATGAGTGTTGTTAGCATGAGCAAAGCTATCACAATGTTCATTTATTGTATAGTTAGTGGCTTGTTACTTTATTATCTTAAACAACTGTTTTACGGCATGTTATAAATAAGTAATTCATGTTTATAAGGGCACTTTTACAAAGGAAAGCATTTTTAATGAATACAGAAATAAAAGAAAAAGTATTCTGACCCCCCAAAATTATTTCTCATATATCTACTAATTCTTAAGAAATGTTGAATCTAAAATGGTCTTTTTGGTCGTACTGTATATTACAAATCCAGATGATGTCATAAGGTGTTTATTTCAGTCTTAGTACCAAACAATTATTATTTCTAAAAGATTTTATAAAAATATGATTCAAATAGGCAGCTAGCAGTTTAACTGATGCTGTTTACTGTCAGGACATATTTGATAAACAAATAATACAGTGTATACAGTAAGAGCTACAGACTTTGAAAAGAATGAAATAAAAAGGCACACAGTGGTTCATTCATACGAGGCACAAGTGCTGTTAAAAATAATTAAACCCAGAGTGTTCTGGGAAATTAACCAAAACATTATGTATAACATTTAACTCTAACCTTATAAGATTTTCCATACAAAGTTTCCAGTAAAAAAAATAATATTTTATAAAATTAGTACATATTTGGCCGCAGTGCTGAGAAGGAAAAATTACGGTGTGGATCGGTTTAATGGATCATGTGACTGAACATGTGTCTTAGTTAAATTTCCCAGGTCTGTAATTTTTAGTGTATTTTTCTTTAATACAATCATCATGCGTGCAAGTATTGTATGCTGTAAGCTTTGTAATACTTCTTATTTTGTTGATAAGTTTTGGTTGGAAACAAAAGAGTTCAATTTTTGAAGAATTCAGAGTTGTGTTTTCTGTGGTATCTGGGCACAACTCTCCCATTGGTTGGGAGTTCAGGAGCTGGACTGAAGGCCTTACACGTTAGATTAACCACCGTCAGTCCCTCTGACACTTCTAGATACATCGCTGACTGTGAATACGAGCCATAGTTTAAGCAGGTTTCAGTCGGCTGTTGGAAATGAAGACAGCGGTGGAAGCTTTAGCACAGGATTCTTTACCAAAAGAGTCACTGTAAAACTGAGACATATAAGCTTAAATATATGTTAATGTCTGATAAAAGCTTCAAATAAAGTGGAAGCTTCAAATGTCTGTCTTTAATCTAGAGTGGACAAAAAATGTTCATGTGCACTCACATTAGCTTAATGCTGACATACTATTAGAAATCCCATAGGGGTTAGCTGAAATTAGAATTATTGTAGAGGTGTTTTTGTTTCTGACATTTATGACCCGAACTGAAGGCCCAGCTTTAATAGTCATGGTTCTCCACTGAGTAAAATAGATGGTATGGAATGGTTATTTCAGTATACGTGCTTTATTGAACTTCTAATAAAATGAAAGACATAAAAGAATGTGACTGAAAATGTAATTTAATTTTTTTATTCTCCCTTTAAAGGTAGATTTTAGTTGTTTTAGTTGCTAAATATGAACTGCTATTTCCTAATCTGAGAGACTGTTGAGAATATTGGGAATGTCTGTAAATAAAAGTGCAAGTCTTAATGCAGTATAATGTGATGCAGCTGAATTTTCAGCTTTGTCATCATGCAGACTGACAGCAGTTCACCAGCATCACCTAAAAGATCTTCCATTTCAAAAGAATTTAGGATTTTTAAAAAATGAATCAAACCATTTAACAGATGAGCTGAAAAGGGGGAATGTGGTTGTTGTTGGCAACAGTGTACAAATACAGATAACGCAGCATCTACAGTATAAATAACATCAGCCAAAAAAGATCAATCATCTACACAAACAGAGCTTACTGATTCGAGCAGTCACTCCCATACAGACACCTTCAGTTGACCCTTTAATCTCATTATAATGAGATTATAATTAAATATGCTAAACTGAAATATTCTAAATTCTAAACTGTTCCAATAACAGTGACATACATAAAACATATAAATAAACCTCCAGTTAACCCATAAATCATTATAACATACATTTGGTTAAGATTGGTCTAACACTCTGATTTACTCAGAACCCCAAAAAACTCTCAGTTTAAAATTAAACAGGTTTTTCGAGCACTGAGAGTCACACAGGTTAAAATGGAATGTCTTACAGACGGACAGAGGGAGAGATGGACAGATGGAGACTTGGACGGAGGGAATGTGGATGGAGGGCAAGATGGATAGGTGGGTAGAAGAAGAGATGGATGGAGGGAAAGAGAACAGATAGATGCAGGTGAATCTCACACTGGCATATGCATCTCTGTGTACTCATCCTGTCCCTCTTTCTCATCAAACGTTGGTTCTGCATCATCTGCATCCAGCTGCAGGAGAAGAAAAACATGGGAAAATTACACAACAATAACAACAACAACAACAACAACAACAATAATAAATATTTAAAATATTTAACTAGGGTAGTAACTCAGTGTTTTGCTATATTTCAGTATTTTAGCCTTTCAGTACTTTGGCATTAATGTATTTCAGTACTTCATTATTTTAATATTTCTGTATTTTAGTGTTGTTGAATTCTAGTATTCAGTATTTTAATATTTTAGTATTTCAGTATACTTACACACTGCATCTCGCGGGTGGTGAAGATTCGTGGTAAGAGGAACATTTTCAGGGGCACGGTGAGGATGAGGACGAAGGGAAAGGCCAGCGAGGCTGCAGTGGACATCACTGCCCACAAAACCGCCAAACACACCATCTGCACCAATGTGAACAGGTGCATGCGCAGGGTCCGCACCTGACCAAAACAAAGGCCATATCAGTCAGGGTCATTAAGGCTTAGAACAGTCATACAGTTTGTTCTTTAGGTTCTGTTTTCCAGCACAATGTAACTGAAACCCCTCATCAGTGGAACACGCAGTACAGTTTTGCAGTGGGTGTAGCTTCAGCAAGACAGTGACACATAACACACAGTTAAAGTAACAGTGACCAAATCAGTCACCCAACCATTTTGTCTACTACAGACAAAAGTGAAAATAAAAAGCCCCTGAAATCAAGCAGGAAGTGAAAACGGCTGCATCAGAACTTGACAGAAGAGGTCTGATTAAGTCTGCACTTTAACCTCTGTTTCAGTTTTAAGTCAGCGTGCTAAAATAACCATTAAAATACAAACTGTACCGCTGTCTAAACATGGACTATAATTCACACCACCAGCTTGGTAAAACAGTTCATGATATTTGATCATTATTTGCTGAAATGTTTTGTGTAGTACTGACTGTATGATGGATCATTCTTTGTACAGTGTGAATGCGCTCCTGACCTTGCGGACGTAGATGTGGTCAGGGTGGTATTTTGGAGGCATCAGAAGCAGTTGCATGCGCTCACTCAGCTGGATTCCATTCAGTGACATCACACCCATGTAGAGAAAAATCCCAAACAGCACAGCGATGGGGATCTGCCGCAGGAGGTCTCCGATCACTATGGACAGACCTGCAGGTATGACAAGTTCACTAAACTCACAGACTGAAGCTGAACGGTCAGTCACTGATCCCTTAGCATACTCAGTGCTAAGGGATCAATAAACTGCTCAGAGTTTCTAACCATACATGCTAAACGTAAACCAGTGCTTAACAATTCACCATACAACTTTAATAAAACTATGAAGTTACAGTCATCATCGCTTTCCTAGTGAAGAAGTAACGTGATGGTCATTTATTTTAATTATGCTGATAATTAAATTTATCAGTGTGAAAACTCCTAAAATCAAGTAAAATTACTTATCAGTTATTTTGGTTAATTTCACTCTGAGTCATGAAGACTGTATCTTTGCTGATGTTATAAACTTTCTATTTCCAAATTGCTAACTTTACAGAAAAAGGAGAAAACATTCTTAATTTTTGATGTATGTTAATGTAACAACTTTTTATTCTGAGCAGGGTCATGAGAAGGTGTTTTAAGTTGGGGGTACTGAAATTTTAAGCAGCATATAGGTGATGTGAACTGCAATGTATTGCCGAATGTTTTTTTTTTTTTTCTCACAGTATGCTATATTGTGGTAAGGACCACAATGTATACCTATAACTGACACTGATGCACACTCCGCTCTGAACACACAAATGCACACAGAGCAGAAGAAATAACAGTTGATGAAAGAATATCGCTGCTGTCGGAAGAGAACCTCGTATCTCCATTTTTGTTTTTTAAATTTCATGAAGAATGGACCAACAGAAACGGCCAATTGAAAGGAAAGTAGGTTTTTTCCTTCTCCTCTAAAGTTACCATTTTGAAGATACAAGGTTTCCGTCCAACAACAGCAATATACTCAATGCATAGGACGTTGTCACGTTACATTAGGGCTGCACGATATTGGAGAAAACTGACATTGCGATATTTTTTTCTGCATAATACACTGCAATATGAGAAAATACAAGAACTTTCACCAGATAACTTGAATAGCACTATTTGGAAAGAATTAATAATTCTAGAATGATTGAGGTGATTTTGTAGGTGATCTGTATAGAAAATAAAATACTTTAAAGAAGCTGTAAAACTACTTTTCACTCTGAATACTTTTTTGAACGTGAACCACCCTTTCTTGTACTTTAATGCTATACAGTTGGTTTCAACACACCAAACCCAAAAGCAGATAAGCACTGTGACTGCTCTTCTGGAGGGATTTTGGAGGGGAAATTAGGTAGTTTGATACTCTGGTTGACCATGACACCACTGTATTCATATAATACTTTTCTATCAATTCAAGCTGAAGTCAATGCTCTAACATGTCATGATATTAATAATGCATGTTGGGTACCCTAAAATAAAGGTCTCATATCGGTGAATGAAGAAGTGAGGTGTCAAGAGGGGACCCTGGGGCCATAATTACAGAAATATCTCAACTCCGAAATCGTATCTTATCTGTTTAGTGATCATGACAACTTCAGGTAGGACTGAATTTAGGACAGAAGCTGGTTCTAAACAATAGTTTTTTTGTTCGTAATCAAGTCTTAACTCCAGATAAGAAAACAGTATTACAGAACCATGCTAACAAGACAAAATTTCCTACATACTGTCATAGCTTTAAGGCAACCGAAGAAGTGTCTTAATTTCTGTTTTAATCTTCTGTTACTATTGTTTTTAGGAAACGACAGCATAGTTCAGTGCTTGAACAATGATTTTATTTATATTGCAAATTGTTGTTTTTTTCTCCATCTTTGTTTTAAAAATCCCCAAAGACACTGCAGATACTGTCCTCTCTTATTACCTTTGTGTGGTAATGTGGATGACAACTTGTCAGATAAAATGCTACAGATGGCGATGAATAATGAGGAGACAGAGCTGAACATGTGGCTGTTTATTAGGAATCGGCTAAGGCATTTGGGAAACAGAAAGTGACTCTGGGGAGTGTTTATCATCACTAGCACGAGTACCAGCCCAAGTTCAACTTTCCGTCCATCAACTTTCCAGGATTTCGCACTATGGCACATGATTTTATTTTTAAGTTTCTAATCAATATTAGGCTGCCTTTGGGCTTAGAAATAACCTACAGCTCTGCACACACATCCCGACCATGGTTTGTTTTAGAGACGCACTATTAAAATGGCCAACAGTCAGCGAGAAAAGTGATTCCCTGTAATCAAAATACATTGTCAACATAAACAGTGCAGCTACTGCAGGTTTTGTAGGTTAAATATATTTGAATAAAACGGCTGCATCAGAACTTGCCAGAAGAGGTCTGATTAAGTCTGCACTTTAACCTCTGTTTCAGCTTTAAGTCAGTGTGCTAAAATAACCATTAAAATACAAACGGTACCGCTGTCTAAACATGGACTATAATTCACACCACCACTGGCACTCTGGGAAGCCTGCAGCAAAATTATTAATTTGAAAAATGGCATTAACCATTACTTCACAATCATTTTTATGTGCACAATTAGCCTAATTAATATGCACCATGCATATGGCTCAGCTCTGGCCCAAATTTACTTCCTTTATCAGACCACCGTGGAATGATGGTGATTACTTTGTCCAAATCTGGGTGCATTAAATTACTATTTAATGTTCAATGAATACTAAATTTTAAGTTAGCAACAAATCATTTTTAAACCAAATTGAACACTGAATACTGACCCCAACAACCCGATCAGTAATCCATCCCTGATTTTAGCCCATTTATCATGAAATATTCAGACAGTGTAATGGACAGCAGGAGTTTCTAAATACAGAAAAAAATAAAGTTAAAACACTCTAATGACCCACCAACAAGAATGGCCACCAGCAGTCCGGTGACCCTTTGCTCTTTGACCTCTTGGATGCGTGGTTTGTCTCCAGGGGCGACAGCTTTGCTCATCACAGTCAGGGCGTTGACATGGGTCACTGAGCGGACCGTAGCTGCAGCCATCCAGGGCAGTCCGAACAGCGCACAGGTTCCACCTAAAGCCACGATGATCAGCAGGTCCAGATGAAATCCAGAACCTTTAATCAACATTCGCTCCTTCTTACTAACGATCAGTCTAGAACCAGAGAGAAACAGCACCAAGCTTAGAGCAATACACAGTGATCATCTCACTTCATTTTCTGCACTGTTAAATCCAACTGTACAGTCAGGTATACTACTCTTACTGTATTCATAATAACACATCTGATCATTGTCTGTCTTCCACCACTTTCATTGTTCATGGTTTTATTTGGTTTATTAACGCTGTTTACAATGTAAATTTTCAATTTTAAGTATTAATAATGAATAGATAAACTATAACAATAAAGTAAGGAATTAATTCTAATCTGACAAACAGAATTCCTGAAACAGGAACTTTATAAACAATCCAGAGAAAAGAAGGTAGAACAGAGAATCAAAGTGACTCCACAAAAACAAAGTAAGCTAGAATGTGTTAATTTAACAGCAATTTACTGAATAAGGTCTTTTTAGGAAAGCTTGACATAAATACAGTATGGTTCAGTGATGGTTTGAGGTTTTATAGATGATTTAAATGCTCCTCACGTGGTGATCTGTGTCTCCATGAAGATCAGAATAAAGACCAGCAGAGCTGGCAGGACGCTGGCAGCCATCATCCAGATGGGGAACTGGACCTCCGAGCCCAGAGGATTCACCACCCAACCACGCTTATCTGGACTGGTCACAGAGAAACCACGAGGGACGCTCAGTTTCTGCAGAAACATGACACAGAGGAGACCATTTCACTTACTATTATTACATTAAGTTATAATGTCTTCACAGTCAGTGTGGTAACCATAGTGTTCATAACAGGACCATTTTTACAGGAACACTTTCTACAGTTACATCTACTCACTTGTGTGTATGTGTCCTGAATGCTGTAGTCCACCAGCACCATGACCAGGATGGCAATCGGCACCCCGAAATCTCCAATTACCCGCCTCAGCTGTGACAGATGTTCACAGAGAACTTTTAATAATCAAAGACTAAAATCCAACATCATTATTTCCATATCTTTCATGAAAAATGTTTATGTCAAGTGATCTGAAAATCAGACTATTTTCTCACCCTGCCAGGAAAAAAGGCACTGTTTTTGAATTTGCGCAGATAGAAGGCGATGAAGAAAGTTCCGGACATGAGCACCAGAGACAGTAGAGCTGTGTTTGGCTCCGCCTCCACCTTCACTTTCACTTCTGAGCTGCTATTGGCTGCCTGAGGGCTCCAAGTGAAGTTCTCCACAGAAGAGATCTCGGACTCATTCAGCATGGAGCCATTCCCACAAGAACAGCGCTGCAGAGGATGTTCCTGAAATATCTGCAAGAACAATAAAAAAACTCATTTACATGCAAGAGTGTGTGGAATTAACATGTTCCAGAACACAGTTTAAGCTGTGAATCTGTTCAGCTCTGAATCTGAGGTTTTGGTTTATCATATTATTTTTCTGCAAACTGACCTTGGCGAGTTTAGAGAAGGTTTCATAGATGAAGATGAGGGAGATGAGGAAAGAGAAAATCTCCTGAGTAAAACGGGAGACGAAGCGAACCAAGAAGCTTCCTTCAAAGGCCACCATGACCACTACGATGATAATAAGCCAGAATCCGATCCAAACACGACCTGTCAGGTACTCCAGTCCATTGCTCTTGCAAAACTATGGTTGCCAATCATAAGAAAAAAAAACTTTCAAAGCAGGGCACTGTGTACCATTTAGCATGATCTATCTACACTATACATTCAAAAGTACAAACATCTGTTTCAAAAAGTGTTGGAACAGTTTGTGAAATGCTAATGAAAACAGAAAGTGACAGAACAAAAACATGACATTTGATATTTGAAAGAGCCTCTAATCTTCTGCGAAGGCTTTACACTAGATCTTGGAACACTGTGGCAAGGAATTCATAGCATTCAACCACAAGAGCTTTTTGTTGCCTCAGCCAAGCACTTAACTAGCATGTTTAACGGTTGCCATTGCCTAGAAATGGTCTAGACTTCACTTTACCCCTGCTCTCAGCTTCACAACCAGTCTTAGTGAAAATTCAGGTTACGGCCAGTTTCTGCAAGTCTTAAAATTATGCTCAGAAAGTTATGACCGCCTTTGCTAATGACCACACATGAGCCCCATTTATAGAGGGCTGTAATACTGTAATCTGTTTAAGAAGGCTTTTACTTTTTCTGTTAAAGATGAGGACTCACAGAGAAAAAGGCTTCCTCAAAGACCAGCAGGGGTCCAGAAAAGCCCACCACCAGCAGCGGTTGTGCCCCGAGCAGGCAAAAGAGCACGCCCTGGATGCACGTGGCCACAATCAGCTCAGATACACCGATCAGCCCCTCAGTCTTCTCTCCTACACAAACATAAAGTGTGTTTCTTCATACAGTCCTGCTTAATTTTGTTAACCCTCAGAAATCTAACTTATTGCTGTCATTTAGCTGTGTATTCAATTTACAACAGATAATTGCTTATACAAGTTATGTAATGAATCACGTTTACATTTGATTTCCATTTTGCACTGACAGGTTTGTGTCTTTTGACTGTGTTCCAATAGTTTTGATTGAAAAAATGACAAAACGTGGCAAAAACATAAACAATGTTTTTAATTTCCACAAAACAAGGCTGTACACATAATATCTTTTTTCTAATAAACCAGGTAGAGTTTCCATTTATATCAGTCTGCACTCACCAAGCAGCCCTCCAAATGTTATAGCAGGAGAAAGAGCAGCAAAGTAGATAAAGATGACGGCAGCCATGCACTGTGCATTCAGAGCATCTTTAAAGTCACTGAGGTACTTTGGGTACCTGCGGCGCACATCTCGGATTAGCCCCCCAAACGGCCGGCCTGTACGCTGAAGAGGGTCATCCTCAGGCTTAAAGGGAGCTAAAAGAGCCTCTGCAGCAGGAAGAACAAAATAAACTGGAACTCAATCACATTTACATTATTTATCACCAACCTTCACTACACTAGCTGAATATATTTGTAAAAGAATTTAAGTGTCTTGACAATAGTTAATATTAACTTGGCTGAGAATTCTTTAAATGTCCTTAATGGGAATTGACTTTATAAATCAAATACAGTTTTGCACTTGTGCTGCATGTAATATGTGTATTTTCCATTTTTTTTTATAAAATAAGAAATATTTGACACTTCAATATAGTTTTTATCTAATATAGTTTTGCTCAATATGAAGCAAGATGAAGTTTTATTTGATACATTTGTTAATCAAAGTGTACTTTTTCCAATGATATAAATTATTTCATGCTAGATTTGCCAAAAATGAACAATATGCATTATAAGCCAGTTATTCTCAATCTTGGTCCTGGAATACCACTGTGCACGTTTTAGAGTTTCTCTAGTCTTGTGGGGCCATGTGATCTCATAACAAGAATGTTTGGGGACAACCATTTTTGGCTAAATGCAGGGGGAATGTAAACTTAGATCTCAGAAACTGATGAAGATCTTTTGCATGCAACAAATATTGCATACTATCTACCAGGCACAGTGCCACTGTTTCCTGAAAGTTTTTAGTAAATGTGGGATGGACAGTCAGGAGATCTTCAATGATTTCAGGTGATTTGACCCAATTCCAAATACTAGCTGACCTTTCTCCTCCAGGCTCTTGGGTTCTTTGGCAAGCAGACTGATTTCCTGTTCTTCTCTTTTGCGGAGCATCTCCCTCTGGAAGTGAGCCACAGAGCGAAGGAGATCTTCTCCGCCCAGCTCTGAGGGGGGCAACACAATGCTGCAGTCCAGGAAACTGTTGATGGCGTTCAGAAGGTCCTGCCGGTCATCTGCCAGATAAGCTGCTTCGTGGAAGGACTGCAGATGGTAACAATAACAATAGAATCTTCAGTTAAGTGATCTCAGCAGTGAGGCTCTTTAACACAATCATGGAATTATTTACCTTGTCAGACATGAGCGTAGATATGGACCGTCCAATCTGGTGGTAGTCCATGCTGGTGCTGGGAGGTCCAAGCAGAACGAAGAGGAACCGCACAGGAACCGGAACCTCCAGCACCGAGTCTAACTCCACAGCTTCCTGCAGACGCACGAAGGCCATGGTGGGCTGCTCCAGGAAATCAACACTGCCTGAGGAACATCACAGCACTTTTAAACTCAGAACAATGCTGTAGAACTTCATTCAGAGGAACAAGAGATTGACATGGTTCTACTCAAAATTCAATATTCAATTTGATATGATACCATGGCATCTCATTACAATAATCTATGGTTGATAGCAATTATTACAATTAAGCATTAAGCCATTTCTTTACTGTTTTGATTAACTACCCTCCTTTACTTTTAGTCCATCATATTTTATTGAATATTGCTGCAACTCTTCATGAATGTCTAATTTCAAAAATAGTCTTTTTCTTTCTTCCTTATATTCACTTTGAGTGATTTGCACTTTTTGGATTAAAACAGAGTAGAAGTTCTACCAGTTCTACTATTTATATTGTACGACATTTCTTTAAGTAAAGGGAATGAAACTGCACCTTACCCACAAGCACAACAGTTGCTTCTGCATTTTCTGGAATCTTCTCCAGCAGTTTCAGCTCATGTTTGGATTTGGATCTGTGCATTCCAACAGGACCAGCATCTTTCTGCAGTTTCACACATACAGTACACAACACAAAGAAAACACCTGAAAGTTCAGCATTCAAACTTGATTTAACACATTAGATTCAGCTAATTAGTTAATCACACAGACCTCTGTCACTTATACAGACCTCTGATAATAGTGCATCATTCTGTAGTCAGTGTCATGCCCATTTTAGGAAATCTAAGTTGATTTCTCTATGGGGAAAATGAACAGTGATCTTGAAAATCACTGCTATCTCGCTCTGTGGTAAACAACACTCCTAAGCTGATATATTCTGCCGCATGAACATTTTTTCATCTGAATGTCACTGGATCTTCTGAATTGCAAGGTCGTTAGGGAGCCCAAATATTAATATTGTCACATGGAAGTTCACACTACTGGACACTGAACTGACCTCACCAAAATACCCCACAAAAACCAGCAAGCTTTGTCCAGCATAATAGTTCACAGGTTTTGGGATGCAGTTTGAGTAGTTAAGTGGTAGCTTGCTTGTAGCACGAATGCAGCACTGTTCATACTGTGACACAGGCAGAAATTAAGGCACAGGAGAAGCCATTCTTCTGCTACGAAAAATACTTTATTTGACACAACAGCAAAAAAGGTACATATAAGGAACTGAAACCGTGGGGGAGGTCACCACTAGCCACATGCTTCATCATGACTGTGGCCAACCCAAAACCCACAGCCCCTGAAACTAAGAAAGACAATATACTTGTACTAATGAACAATGACAATAAACAACACAAACAGTTCCATTGATGGAGAGGGCACACACACCATGACACTTTGCGTGTAGCCATCTGCACAGCCATGCCTCCAGAGTCTCTGGGAGCCAGTGCCAGCCAGTAGTAGGACTCTACAATATTTTGATGCTTTAATGGCCTAATAATTCAAAGGATCCAGTGACACTTTTACCTTTAATTTTTTATTTTACATTTTATCTTCACAAAGCAGACGCCGGAACTAGCGACAGCCTGAATGTTGTTAAATGTGAAACCTTTGACTTGAACTGAACGCAGCCTCTGACCTCGTTTTTGTCTGTCTCCATGTGCAGTACTGTGTCTGTCCTGGTGGGGGTGCCACTCATAAGCGGCTGAGTGACCGAAGGCTCGGCCTGGCCACCAGTGCTGTTGCTATGGTGATGGTGGTGGTGGTGGGCCATGAGGGAGCCCAGGCTGGCGGCTGAAATGTTCCTGGGGAAGGAAGTGTGGTCTTTGTCGTCGCTGGGGTGGCTAGGGGGCACAGAGGGAGAGCAGGGCAAGCAGGAGGTCAGCAAGAGGAGCACACAGCACACACTGCACACAAACATGCACTGATCTAATGGGCAGTAGCAGGTCAGTCAGGGGGAGGAGATACCACAGAAAAGGTTAAACAATCTCCAAACAAGAGGATGTATAGCAGATCTCACATTAACACTATAAACTTATCAGGCACGTTAAGCATTGCCTGAGGTTTTATGCACAAACCTAAATCTAATGTTTATTTAAATAAAAACAGTATGAAGCCAAGATATTTAATGTTTTACTTTTCGAACTTCAATACTGTTTGCAAACATTCACTCATTCTGAAATTGATGCCTGTAACATAAAATTTGATATGAGCAAATTAAGACCGGGAACATTTTAAAATGTTAACCTGACGCATTCATGCTTAGTTATAAAAGGAGCACCCAGAAAATGCCAAGTCTGTTATGAGTGGAGATGGGTACAAAATTTGTCAACAGTATTAGCAATGTCCTGCAACAAGCAGTTTTAGTTCATGTTTTAACAAGTGTGTCAATCTATTGTTTTGGTCGCAGTAGAGCAACATGGTACAGCATCAAATTCACACCTTTGCAGAACAAAACAGTTTTTTCTCTGCCATCGTATCAGTTCTGACGCTGTGAGTCCCTGTTTTAATAAGAGAAGTGATTAATAACTGTGTGGACTCACCTGCACATCTGTGAATGTTTAGGATAAATAATGAAAATCAAAGCAGAGAGATGCTGAACTTTCTGTTTCAGATCCTACAAAGCATTATTCCTACATACCTAGTAATTTATACTACTACTTCTTGAGTTGGTGTGCCTGTGTTTGAGCTGCTGTTCCTGTGTTTGAGACAGTATTCCTGTCTTTGTATTCCTGTGCTTGTGTACCTGTGTTTGAGCTGATGTTTCTTTGATTGAGCTGGTGTTACTGTGTTTGAGCTGGTGTTCCTGTGTCTGAGCTGGTGTTACTGTGTTTGAGCTGGTGTTACTGTGTTTGAGCTGGTGTTCCTGTGTCTGAGCTGGTGTTCCTGTGTTTGAGCTGGTGTTCCTGTGTCCGAGCTGGTGTTACTGTGTTTGAGCTGGTGTTCCTGTGTCTGAGCTGGTGTTCCTGTGTCCGAGCTGGTGTTACTGTTTTTGAGCTGGTGTTCCTGTGTTTGAGCTGGTGTTCCTGTGTCTGAGCTGTTGTTTCTGTGTCTGAGCTGGTGTACCTGTGTTTGAGCAGCAGAGCGCGCAAGACGTTGGCTCGATCCTCTGCTTTAATCTGGTCAGAAATGATCATCTGTTCCACCACTTGATGAGCAATTCCTGGCAGGGTTTTCTGATCCAGATCCAGCAGAACGGCACCTGGAGTAATAGAGATTATATAAATATATTAATGTTTCCATGTGCAGTTTACCACAGCATTCAACATTATAAAAGTGTAGCATCTGAAACAAAATCTGTGATTTCTAATGTCCTGATCTATCGCACTAGCCACAGTCTAACATGGTAGTCATAAAATATAATGATGCATGATACAATATGATGCGTTGTATTTTTACATCCCTAAAAAGCTCAGAAAAAGTAAATATTATGATGTGTTTCATGTATTGTGAAAAGTATTTTGATGTTATGTTTTGCTCTATCGCTCGCTACATGTGTGTAAATGTAAATCTGTACAGTTGATTCTTCCCTCATTCTCTTTAGAGTGTCTCTCATTTAGGTCTTTCACTGCAAACCGCTGCTAATGATTGGGGGCAGCCTATCAGAGTAAAGTAGGCAGGGAGGGATGGGGCTTATGCTATGGACACACCCACTGGGCTTTTTTTCTGAAGAGTTGATAAATTGTAGACCTTGTGATTTTGGGGTTTATTCTGTCAGAGGGCGTTGCAGCAGAAGATGAAAAAGTTCTGTTAAAGAACTTTTGTTAATTAAACCAGCTTGTAGAGCAGAATTAGAACCAAGAATATTTTAACACAGAATATAACAAAAATTTGCCTTGCAAACTTGACCTTGCAAAGCGCATCAAACCTGATAAGAATATATGCAGACTACTGAAACAAGGCAATAACAATAGTAATTATTAATTTAATTATAAAAACTATTATTAGTTGTATTTTTGATGGGCCCCTATAGATTATTTTCTCTCAAATTATTACCTAACTATCTAGTAAAATTCTCCTCAGTGTTAGGATTAAAGTAAAGGTTAGGATTAGAAATAAGATTACGATAAATCTTAAATTGAGGATTAAGAATATAATTAATAATTAATAGGATTAGGGTTAAGAATTTGGTTTATCTTATGTTTAGGATTAAGATTAGCGCTAAGACAAGACTTAGTTTAGAGTGAGCATTAGGTTTAGTTGTAGGATTAAAATCATAGTTAAGGCTAGGATTAGGTGGAGTTTAAAGTTTAAATAAGGGTTTTAAGCGAAAGAGTTTTAGTATATGCTTTATGTGGTCAGCTCTGACCGTGTGAGATGGTCTTTCGGAGCTCCAGAAGGCTCCTGAATGAGAGTGAAGCAACATGTGGTTTTCCCCAGCGGTCCGTCTCCTCCTCCACGTCTTCCTCAAACTTTATCCAGCGTGCTGTTTCCCTCCACTGCAGCTCCTGATTCTTATCCATGATTAACTCATTCAGCTCCACAAAAACCTACACAAAGAGCAACAGCAGCAGCAACAGTGAGTAAATAAACTGTAAACAGCTCTCTAAATAATAACAGAAAAAAAAATGCATTATAACAGAGTTCAAGTAGAACAAATAACAAAAAAGAATAAACAATAATAATAATAGAATACTACTACTACTACTACTACTACTAATAATAATGCATTTAATTAAAAAATCACATTCATAAGGATACTTAAAAAAAATGCAAAACTAAAGAAGAATAAATAATAACAGAATTAAAGGAAAATAAACTGTAAATAATAACACAAAAGTGACTTAACAGGAGCAGTTTAACAGGAGCTTTACTGACAAAGAAAACAAAGAAGATTTCAGAAAGAAACCACAACAATAACAAATTACAGCTCTACAACTACACTGGAAAGACTGCTGCACTGAATGTGTCTGATTCTAATGTGTTCATTTCTACATAAATGAAATATATTACATCATCATAATTACTGTATTTCAGTTTATTTACTCCGGCAGTAACTGTGTTGATGCAACTGTTTTATTCATGTGGAAATGATGGGTTTTTAAATCAGATAAACTGAAGTAAATGTAGCACCTTTTCAGCCCTAGAATAAGCTTTAAATTAAATAGTTTTCTTCCTAACTGGTTGAGTTTAACACACACACATGCTCTCTAAAAACACAGCTAAACCACTGACAATGCTAATCCATGGTGTGGTGTATGAGGAATTAATTTAAAAGGAAAATTTAATTTTTTCTAAATTGCATAATTGTAAACCTGCATAATTCAATGGTTAAGATGTAAACAAAAGTCATTCAGAGTGGTTTGGTGTGAAATGCTATGTTCTAGAGAAACATACAATGTCACAGTTCACAGTACAGATGACAGGAACCAGACATCCACCTCTAAAAACTCCCTCACAAAAAGTTATTATATGAAATGCTTATTAATATGCTGCCTGATGTCTGAGGTTCACTGGTGGTTTGGATAGTAAATAAAATGGCTATATTTATGCTGTACACATTGTGATCGCTTGTCCCTATCACCACCACTGTAAAGACATCTCTAAATAAACCATTTCACATAAAACCACTCTGAATGACGTTGTTTACATCTCAACCACTGGATTATGCAGACATTTAGAAAATCAATAAAATCCCTACCCCCAGTACAGAAATTAGTTCTGACCTTCTGCTGTTGGGTGACTCTCCTGGAGAAGTCTAACAGCACCATGCTGAAAGAGAGAGCGCCATGGGCTACCTGAGATTTAGCTGAGTCTGTGGGGTTTATTAATAAAGCATGGCCTCCTCCCTTCAGCCGAGGGGTGGGGTGTCCCGTTACCTGACCAGATCTGCATACCTTTCTCTCAGGTGTGTGAAGGGAATGCATCATTAATTCATTTCTAATCTATTCCCCTTGGCTTCAGAATAATGAATAGATTTTCCAAAACAAAATCAGGAATGTGGGGACTGTTCTGGGATCAGCAAAAGGGATTAAATTCCTTAAACTATTAGTGACCCAAATTGTAGATCTACCCCTCAATTCCTCACTCAACTAAACTCATATATTAGTTTCAGAGCTTGTACCGAATGATTCATAGTACTGATCCATAGTAGATACTGAATAATTCATAGTAGTTCTGAATGATTCATAGTACTTACTGAATGATTCATAGTGGATACTAAAAAATTTATAGTATATAGTGAAAAGTTTATAGTGGATACTGAGTAATTCATAGTAGATAGTGAGTAGTTCATAGTGGATACTGAGTACTTCATAGTACAAAGTGAGTGGTTCATAGTGGATACTGAGTAATTATGTGAAGTATCTTTTTTACATCTCTGAATGTAAAGCTGTGACTGAATGCAAATCAGGAAAGACACCCAAACACTTAATAAATATCAGGCAAGCATGAGAAAAGTATGAAGAAGCTCATTTCAGTATGAATAAATGCTTCAGTGAACTGTGCAAAACAAAAAGTAGCAGATATTTCAGCCCATCATCAGCTTTACCTTAAATCACCTTAACTGGCCTTAAATCACCTCAAAGCATATAAACCAACCTTAAATAATTTTAACTAATGCTCGTACCTCGTGCGGAGTGCGGTCCAGTTTGCGGTTCCGTGTGCTGGGTTCTTTATGGTCTTTACTGATGTGTACAATCTGACCTTTAGTACTTTTCCTGACCAGGTGTCTCCGCACACCTGGAACATCCTCAAACCGGTGACCTGCAATAAATAAAATTTACATTCTTTGTTTTTATATTTTATGTTCCATCACTCCATCATTCCTTCAATCCACTATTTCAATGTTGTCATTCCTTCACTCCATCGAATGAATAAATGAGCGAATGAATAAATGGATGAACATAAGCAAAGGAATTTGAGCAGATGAATATGCATGGATGATTATGAGTAGATAAATATGTGGACGAATATGAGCAGGAGGCGAAGAAGGAAGAAAGGAAGGGGTATGAGTGGATGAAAATGATCATATAAATATGAGCAAATTAATGAGTGGATGAATATGAGCGGATAAATATGAGCAGATGAATATGCACAGATGAGTATGAGTGGATGGATGAGCAGGTAAATATGAGCAGATGAATACGATTGGATGAAAATAAGTGGATGAGTATGAGCGGATGAATATGAGCGAATGAATATGAGAATATAAATATAAGTGAATGAATATAAGTGGATGAATATAAGTGGATGAGTATGAGCGGATGAATATGAGCGGATGAATATGAGCGGATGAATCTAAGTGGATGAATGAGCAGGTGAATATGAGCAGATGAATATTAGCGGAAGAAAATGAGTGGATGAATATGAATGGAAGTTGTGGGACTGAACTGAAGCTGTGATGCTGACTGCTCTGACCGTTCTGACCGCTGTAACATTATTAGTCACTGTTATGTCAGTCCAGTGGGTCGTGAGAGCGCGGTCAGTGTCTTTGTTTGTTGGACAATGCGGCTGCAGAGTCATGTTACAGAACTGTCACTCAGAGAGGACATTCGGGTTTGGAGATTGAGGGAAGGGAATTATGGGTATTAAGTTTAGCTGAGGTAAAAGCAGAGTCTGAAAGAGGGATTTTAACTCTCATTAAGGTAAGAGTCCAGCGGTCAGGAGTTAGGGAACTAGACGTCAGAAAGGATTTGAGGGATTTTCAGAAAACTGAGTCAGATAGTTTTATTAGAGCTGTACTTTAATATATTGAAACATTACTGAGAAATTCTACAGTAAAGCACATAAGCACTGTTTCATTCAGATACCCTTTTTATCATTCCTCTCTCACTATCACTAATATTCATATTTGAAAGATATTAAAGCAGGACTTCTGATCTTAAACTTTGATTATGTGATGTTTCTTCAGTATTTGTTAGCAGAGAAGACAGTTATTGTCTACAGAAGGTTTAGGAATTCACCAGAATATGGTGGAGTACAGAGTTCAGACATTTGTTTGTATGGGAATGTATGACTTGATATGATAAGCTCATTCGCACAATACCTAACTTACTATTTGAACCTTAATGACTATATGACTATTTAGATATTCTGACTCATCCTTACAATGAAAAGTAAACCACTCTGAATTACTTTTTACATCTCAACCACTGAATGATACAGAAAATTTAGAAAAATAAGATGAATTCGCCTGAATTGGGGTTGATGTATGAGGTAGAGCCGATGGGAAGGAAGGAGGAAGAGAGCAGTGAGAGTGATAGAGATCAGGACTGAAAAGAGGATAATTATAAAGGTTAAATCATCAAAAGATCAAAAGAAACTGTAACTTTCAGGTCCACAATGACGCACAACAATAAAAAACACACTCTGACTGAGGAATAAAGATCAGAGGTCTCATCTGAAGAACAGGATCTTCTTAACAGAGACGTCACCTTCCACCTTTCCTGCAAGTAACCATCCCCCACCCCCACCCCCCCGACCTTAATAAGCAGAAGTAGTAGGACATTCAGAGTCCTCCAGGCGGGATCTTCTCTCAGACTGCTGAAGAACAGAATACAGAGAGAACGTTGACGCTGTAGAAGAGTGAACAGTGATATAGAGCTGTAATCAGCACTAAAACACGACGGACTCACACAGAGATCTTAACACAAATCACCCACAACCAGCTCTGAGTGTCTGTGGGAAAACTGCTCTGATACACTTGAACATGCTAAACCGCCTCCGTGGGAACCAGAGTTTATTAAACTGTTTCTGGTAGAGCTGCACCAAGCATTAGATTCTATGGCCGTTTCCAGTTCTTTACTGAAAAATTGGCTGATGGCTGCCTGGCCGATTCTTATTAGCCTTTCATTTTTCTTATCTGAAGCGTAAATAACACGAGGCACGCCAGCACATTTCCAGTAGGAGAGATTTACTGAATCTACTCAATAGACCAGGCAAACACACAGATTGTAATAAATTTTCTAAAGAAAATAAGACATTGAAAGCTGCACTATGTACGTTTTGGGGACCTCTCTGGTGGAAAGATGTACCTGCATGCCACATGAAACAGGCTTGTGCTTCGGATCACCTCCCCTGAGTGAAAGACATATCTTCCAAGAATGTGACTGAATTATCTACTATTGTCCTCATATCTTTATCAGTACAATGTTGATTACTTCTATCAAGCCAGAATATACCTGTACATATAGATTGACGTCTCGTACGTTTTCTATCCATATCTTGTAATGTGGAATATCTATATATCACTATTCTATTCCCATCTCATTTATCTACCTCAGACTCACATATTGCACATATGGAAAAGTGTGCAATTGTACATATCATAGCTTTTATTTCATAACTTATGTCACTGTTGTTTTGTTTTCCCTTTCTTATATATTTTTGTATATTTAAGCACTCTAAGGGGGCTACACACCTATGATTTTCACTCACCTTCACACCTGTGTAAATGTGATGTGATAATAAACGTGATTTGATTTTGGGATCATTTGATTTTTTTTAGCCTGTGTGTGTAATGTTGATATGTAAAAATGTACAATGTGGTCTGAAAAACTCTTAGCTTGCCTGTGACTTCAGGGTTTAAAGGATGACTCACAGCAGCGCACACACATTATATTTTAGCCTGCTTTTATTCTCCTGACTCAGTAATGATACTTCTGTCAGTTTTAACAAAAAAATCTTACATAGTGCAGCTTTAAGAACAGAACAAATAAAATACAAATAGAATTAGAAACTGAATATTATGGCATTTGAATATAATTTGTAGCTGTGAATTTGTGACAAGCATCACAGTAGCAGTGTGATCAAGTTGAGATTTTCAACTTTATGCATATTAATCATGATGCAGTGAAATGAATTCTAAATTCCTTGGATCAGTCATAGAAACGGGGGGTCCGCAGTCTTTACTCTCTAAACTCTCTGCATTATTCCCAAAATTATCACACAGAAAGTGGAAGAGAAACTTATAAACATGTATAGTTGTGGTTTATATTGTAAATAAAGCAGCACCTCAAACAAACATAAGGAGGCATTAGTGACTTCTATATCTTTCAAAGCTTTCAAATATGAATCAGTACAGTGAGGTGAGTGATGTGTTGAACAGTCTGAGATGTTCACTGATGTAAACACAACTCTTTTAAACCTTATATGTTAAACATTAAATTAAATTTTACATTTTATCATGTAACATAATGTTTCCGATGTTTCTGCCATTTTTGAGTAATGCGTGAAGGGTTATTGGTGACTAAAGGTCAGGAAGGATCCACCAGTTGAGTCCTTCGAGTTCTCAAAAGTGAAGGCTGCAGGATTCAACAAAATGGAACAGCCTTCAGTGACGTAGCAGCTGAGAAAAACAGCATTCCTCAGCTTTGAAACGCAACTGTTGACTCACCTGTAACTGTTCTTTCAAATCACAGCGAACCATCACTGTGCACATTTAAATAATGTAATAATGACTCACTGTTCATATTGGTCCTTATTGTTACTTCTCATTCAATTTTTAATGTGAGTATTTTAAATTATAAAACACATCATATTTTATTAATCTCTCAGCTCTGTTATTAAAGTTCTGAGTTTAACCGCGTTTAGAGGAGCTGAAGATCACAGTAAGATTAAACTGTTTAATATCAGAGGCCACGCACTCTCAGAGTGATGGACACAGTAAGATTTAAAAAGTCAGTTTAAAAGATTCAGCCAGTAAAGCAGCCAAAAGTTACACTCGCAGGTCAGCGCGAGGTCAGCTTCAGAAAATAAAAATCCGATTAACGATGAAGTCAAAGAGAACAGATGAGAATAAGCAGAGAGTCGTTACGGAAAATTAGAATAATTCCACTGAGATAAAAAGATACACGAACTCTGCCAGTCAAACGTCTGGACACACTGGACTGAGAGCTTCAGTTTTCTTAAAGGCATACTGATCCAAAGGCTTCTCTTGAAAACTTTCAAAGCTCAATACTCAATAATATCAATACTCAGATTTATGAATTTATGTCCCAAACAAAAACAATATGTTTTTTTAATGAGTAATTGTCTGTATGTTTCTCATTAAACATGAATTTGCAGAATATCTGTCTTGTTAATACTGTGACGAAGGAGGGGGTGGAGTCTTTTTTTGGTTGAAGGCCAATATTTCTGACTGGAGTAATTCCATATGAACTACGTCATAGTTTGGGTATCTTCATTATAGTAAAAAAAATAAAAACGGGACCTGCCGAAATGTTTGAGTTAGTTCCACTGATCAACATCAACAATTTCAGTTGATAATGTGTAAAATGTCTGGCTTGTATCTTTATTTACAAGTATGATATAGAAACTTTAATAGCAGACAGGGCCTAATTTTTAGCCTAAAATTTTTGTGACTGAAAAACTTTGACAACGTTTTTGTGAAATCTTGTGTTCTGAGTCAGTTCTGAATGCATATTCATATGTATGAGGTAATTGATCATATATATTAGGCAACATCTATAAAAGTGTGATATCTATGAACGTATGTGGGTGAACTCACTCTTGATGCCATCTAAGTCGGCTGAGGCAAGCGTTTGCGCCTCTGTCTCATCGGTAGGGATGCGCTGGTATTTTGCCTGTTCAGTTCCCGTCATGTTCCCGGTTCGGCGGCGCTCCTGGAGGTCGTAATTGCGGCTCGCTGAGGACACGTGGGTCAGTGAACTGGATTCACTGGGGAGAGGGGCCACTTCAGGAGTGCTGCAGTACAAAAAACAAAACAAGAATGTGAAATCACTGAAGGCCTGCTGACTGACCGATTTCACAATTGCTTAAAACTTCTAGGAAATAATGTCACTGTGCTCAATAAGTAGTGTATAAAATTTGAGAATTTTTATGTTCTTTATTTTTTAAATTGCAAGTGTTTTAAAAGTGGGCGTGGCCTTAACTTTTGCTTTAAAAGGGGTGCTACTGAAAAATAGCGCAAAATTCATAATTCATAACTTTTGAACTGTGGATGCTAAGCACATGATTTTCAGGAATTATTATTATTATTAATATGGTGATTTGAGGTCAATTCTGCACAAAAGTCAAGATACATACATAAACATTCAAGCTTCACTTCATTTACAAATCCTGAACTCTGGAGTCCAGAACAGTTAAACAAGTTTAGAATCACTGAATGATTCACTGAACACACAGCATCATTAAATTCAAATCTATCAAAGAGGAGCACTTACCATCACCCCAAACTCGACTCACTTCAAGCTTAACATAAACAAAGAACAGGCGAAAATCGTACGATCCAAAACCGCACAGTAACGTTTCACAGAGCAGAGTTCACACACAGAACACAGGTAACACCAATCAGAGCCAAGAGAAGAAGAAGGAGTATTTAAAAGTAGAAAAAAACAGTTGCCAGTAGTAACGGTCATTAATGAGAAAGTTCTGGATCCCCGCTGACCGCTCAAATAACCCAGACAAAAAACCCACACAGCGTTCTAAATATACACACACTTTACATCCACAACAGCACAGAAACCGCAAAACAGAGAACTCACAGAAAACACAGCACAGAACCTGAAAACTGAAAATTCACAAAAAATGCAGCACAGAACCCAAAAACGGAGAACTCACAGAAAATACACCACAGAACCCCTAAACAGAGAACTCACAGAAAACACAGCATAGAACCCAAAAACAGAGAACTCACAGTGAATGAAGCACAGAAGCCAAAAATAAAAAACTCAGAAAACGCAGCAGAGAACACAAAAACAGAGAACTCACAGAAAACGCAGCGCAGAACCCAAAACATAGAACTCAGCAAATGCAGCACAGAATCTGGAAACAGAGACCTCACAGTGAATACAGCACAGAACCCAAAGACTGAGAAATCAAAGCAAACGCAGCACAAAGCCCAAAACAGAGAATTCACAGCAAATGCAGCACAGAACCCTAAAACAGACAACTCACAGCAAATGATGCACAGAACCCAAAATCAGAGCTAACAGTAAACGTAGCACAGAACCCAAAAACAGAGCTAACAGTAAATGCAGCACAGAGCCCAAAAACAGAGAACTCACAGGAAATGCAGTACTGAACTCAAAAACACAACTAACAGCAAACACAGCACAGAACCCAAAAACAGACGCCTCACAGCAAATGATGCACAGAACCCAAAAACAGAGCTAACAGTAAATGCTGCACAGAACCCAAAAAACAGAACTCACACAGACCACAGCACAGAACCCAAAAACAGTGAGCTTAGCAAACGTACTACTGAATCTGAAAACAGAGAACTTAGTGAATGCAACACAGAACCAGAAAACAGAGAGCTAACAAGTATGGCAGCACAGAACCCATAAACAGTGAATTCAACAAACATAGCACAGAACCCAAAACAGAGAACTCTCAGCAAACACAGGGGGTGGGCTTTGAGGTGGGGTTTAGACAACTAATGGGGTGGGGATTCGAGAATTGTTGAGGTGGAGCTTAGAGAACTGTTGGGGTGGAGTTAGAGAACAGTTGAGGTGTGGCTTAGAGAACTGTTGGGGTGGAGTTAGAGAACAGTTGAGGTGGAGCTTAGAGAACCTGGGGTGGAGTTAGAGAACAGTTGGGATGGGGTTTAGAGAACTGTTGGGGCAGGGTTTAGAGAACTGTTGGGGTGAGGTTAGAGAATTGATGCGCTGCATGTAGCTAAACCTGACATTTCTCACTTCAAAGCTCAAAACCACAATCACAGACTGACGCAATTAATGATGTTAATCTTTCCTAAAATTTCCTTTTTAATTCTCTCTCTCTGGAGTTCCTCTGTCATATGTTTTAGTTGTTTTGAAGAGAATTTATTTTTTATCCCTGAACTCCAGAGTGGCTGAACCACTGTACTGTGTAACCAAGGTCCACTAAAAAAACCTGAATTATACTCACTCTGTGTCGGTGCCGGAAGGAGCTGTGTGGACCTTCTGAGGAAAACTGAAGCTTTCAGAGCCATCCAGAGTGGAGAGGTGCGAGTCATCATCAGAGACAAAGAACTGGAAAAGTGGACACGTAAGGTATACATTACTATAAACAGTACACACAATAACAATAACACTAAACTGTAAGTGTACCGCAGCTGCTTGAACTCAGCAGGTAAATATCAGCTTCACTGAGTATAATCCATCATATTAAGGCATAGCAAATACTGAGGTCAGTCTGTTTGAGTCAGTTTGAGTCCCAACTGAAGGGTCAGTTTGGTACCTGAACAGCCTCTTTTGTGTCCGACTCTGCTGTGTGACCCTCTGTAACTTCATCTTCATCGTCATCCTCCTCTTCCTCAGCCTCCTCCACCACCTCACGCACATCCACACTTGCTCTCCCCTCTTTACTCCTCTTCCTCTTCTTCCCGCTCCTCTTTCTTCTGCCGTCACTGTGGAGCTTGGACAGAGGGTGGCGGATATGGCGTGAGGACTGACGATGGACTGAAAAAAGAAGAGAAGGTAAAGCAACACAGATTAATGAGGATGTTCATGTAATGTTTTAAATTCTGTACTTACATCCATTTTCTTTATTTGATTTTTTTTTACAAATCCTGCCAGAAAAAAACAGCATAGGCCAGCATTACATGGTCACCACTAAAACCAGCATATGTTGCGTTTTGATGCTGGTGTGCTGGCCAGCCAGGATGACCATGCTGGGGTGACCAGCTAAACCAGCACCAGACCAGAATAAGAAAAAAAAAAAAGCTACATATTTTTATATGCACTTTAGTTGCATATTATTCATCGAAATCTTTTGCACATTATTTGTTATTGGTATGAAGACATCTAGCTAGTGCTTTGCTAACAGTCTAATGAGACTCAGTCTAACTGGTTAGGAACTGACTACAAGCTACATTAATAAACACAAATCATGATCAAATAAGGCTTATACAGCAAATATTAACACATTCTTCATTCCTCTTAAGTGTAAATGTTAAGTAGAAAGATTCACTTTAGAACAGATAAACTGACTGTCTTTATTTAAAGCTAATTAGTAATTTACAATTGAGATATTAATAAGATAAATAAAATATACGCCCTCAGGGAATATATAACGCATAAATAAAAGAGTTCTGCTTTATTCACTCTAATTTCTGCTTAATAAAGTAGTAACAAGTAGTCAGTTAATTAGCAGCTACTGACTTAAAATGGGCTTAATAAGAACATTATAATGCCCCGATATGCTGAAGTGGTATCATCTTTATGACAAATACAGTATACGAAGTGGCAATATTAATGTTCTGGTGAGAACATTTATATTACCACTTTTATAAAACTTAATTTTCATTTTTTAAAAAATCACTTGTTCACTTGGTTTAGTAGGCTAGCAGGACTGAGTCCTTCAACTTTCGTAACAAAAAGCATCAGCATAATGTTTCATATTTGGCAAACTGTCTTCTTGTCAACAAATGGATGAAGCTGATCAGTTTGGACTTTTGTGAAACCGAGAACAACAGCGCCACCCAAAGGAAATAAAAAATACGACTCTGCTCATAAAGGCTGATTTTTTGTAGCTCAGAGCTGCAGATTCATAGCCTGTGAAGTGTGTCTTTATATTATACAGAGTGAAACGCCCCATAATTTGGAATCATTTTTAAAGTCCGTGACATTCAGAGTCGAGTTTCAATAGATTTTTTCCACCAACTCACCAACTTTGACTCACCACTCAGAAGGGCTTCATGTCTACATGCACACAATAGACCACTGTAGCCGTGCGTCGTTCTGTAGTCCGCGTTATGCCCAGTTTTGTCCTGTGAACATTCTTCTCTCGAATAACACTGGATCCTCTGAATTACGATGTTTTTAAAGAGCTTGAATGATAATATTGCTACAAGCAAGCTAAAACTACTGCGCAACAATCTGATGTCACTAAGCTACGCGAAACTAAGGCGGGCTGTGGCGGTGTTCTGAAGAGTTGTGCTAACTACCTTATCGAAATGGTCTACCATAGCGCTTACTTACAGGTAAACCCGTAAATAAAACCTCTAGATAGGATAGCCTAAAACTCCTCATCAAAAAATACTACCAGTGTTAAAACTACAAGGCTGAATTAAGCTTCTTTTTTCGCAGCTTCTTGTCTGAATGTTTCCATCCCATCTTAAATGGTGCAGCAGTTGTGATTAACGTTAGCTATCACAAACATTAACAAACAGAACAAAACAATACTGATCTGTTGGTTCTGTGAAACAAAAAAAATAAGTTAATGTTACTCAGCTGTCAAGCGTAAATAGAGAAACCTCTTCATATCATGCCTTTCAACTACCTCTCCCTGAAGCTGAAGTCAGCTTTTTCGACAGCTGCTTGTTCGAATTTTCCGGTTCCACCTTAAATGGCGTAGCGTTTCAGAATGTACCTGCTGCACCACTTAAGGTAGAACGGGAAAATTCTAACAAGAAGCTGGCAAATGTGCTCAGACAATGTCATGAGAAAATGTTACCAGCAGTAAAATAATAACTAGCATATAGCATGCAACAATATTAAGATGAGTCTGTACGGAATTAACCTGGGTGCAGGAAAGTTTATAGAGCTTTTAAAATAAAGCTATGTAGCTACAGAACGAAAAGATCTAGTGTGTTTCAGTGAGTACCAGATGAAAAACAGTTAAGTCCAGGGAAACCTTTCTTTTGTTCTGACGTCTTTTCATCTGCCCTCAGTCTGTACATGGAAATACACTGACAGTGTGCTGGTTTGCGCGGTTTTTAAGGAGGCTAGCTACCACCCCAATTACGTCCATTCAGTGCGCACTAGCATTAGTCTACATGTAACACTATTCATATTTCGACTCCTAATTCAGAAGGTCCAGTGATATTTGAGATAAGACTCAGAGGACAAAATCAGCTTTGCAGCATTTTTGATTATCACAGGATGCGACAGAGGCCATTTTGAAAAACTCCATTCATTCTTCTCATAAAGAAATTCCTTTTAGACCCGGAGCTCCTTATGTGGGCATAAGAGCAAAGTGCCGACTCCAAAATGACGACACGACTACAGTGGTCTATGGTCCAAGAAGGAAAGGAGAGATCAGTGAGGGGTGGAGATTTCAAACTGAAATTGCCTTCAGCTACGTTTACCTTTGTGAGCTAGTTAATCAGCTAGCCATGGAAACTGTTTTTAAAAAGTCTCAATGTAACATATGAATAATTGTTTTATTATCTGGCTGTAAACGTTGGTACGGAGCCTTTATTTTTGTTGTTGTTAACTATGTAGCATTTAGCATGCTAGCTAGCAAAGTAAAAGTCATGAAGTAGTATAAATAGTCATATATGACATATGTAGCAACCTAAAGCCATGTCAAGCGAAAATAATGGTTTTGAAATGTTAAGCATTTTAAAGTATCTAGTTTACTGCTCTGTCCAATCTCAATGTTTTTGGCTCTGTTGCTGAAGTTGACGCTTGTGTTCACTCACCCCTCCGAGAGCTCACTGACAAACCCAGATCCAAAAAGTTGGTACAGTATGTGAAATGCCAGTAAAAAACAGAAATCAGTGATTGGTAAATTCTCTTTGACCGGTATTAAATTTAAAATGGTACAAAACGACAACATTTTGTGTTTTATCTTATGAACTTAATTGTTTTTGTAAATATGCGATCATTCCAAATGTAATGCCTGCAATACGTTCTAAAAAAAGTTTGGACGTGAGCATGTTTACCCTGCTAAAAGGACCTGATGGTTTTGCTTTCTAATGGGAATTGGCTTCTTTGTTTTCCAGTTGGGAAACCCTCGTTTCCTGTAGAACACCTTCAGATCCCATCAGGAAATCATCATTAGTCTACCACTGGTCATCTGTTAAACCATTAGGATCCCTTTACATTGTGATATCAACCCATTAGCACATTGCAAAACCATCAGGAACCAACAAAAAACACTTAATGGTTTGTATGTTTTTTTTCAGCAGGGTACTGCTATATTATATCACCTTTTCTTATAGCGCTTAATAAACGTTTGGGGACTTAAGACACCAACTGATGCCATTCTTTAGTTATACAAGTCTTCAGCTGTGCAACCATACAGTTGCCGTAATTTGAGCTCAATAACGCTACACACATTTTCAGTAGGAGACAGGCAGGCCTGTGTAGTGCACAGTCTCTGATTATGCAGCCATGCTTTTCTAACACATGTAGAATGTGGTTTGGCATTGTCGTGCTGAAATAAGCATGCACATTGGTTGCTCCAGAATGTGTTGAACTTAAATGGTGCTTTCAAAGATGTGTAAGGTACCCACTAGTAGCCCCCCAAAACCATGACAGACCCTGGCTTTGAAACTTTACACTGGTAACAATCTCGATGAGCCTTTTCTCCTTGGCCCAAAAAACACAATGTCCATTATTTCCATAAGCAATCTGAAAGGCTGACTCATCAGACCACCTTGTTTCCACTGTCTTCTACCAGCCATGTAACAGTCTTAACTTGCATTTATGGATGCAGTGACAAACAGTTATTATTAACATTTTTCAAAGTGGTGGTGGTGGTGGTGTCCATCACAGAAGCATGTCAGCTTTTAATGTGGTGATGTCTGAAGGGTTGAAGGTCACAAGCATTTCTTGTAGTTTTCAGCCTTGCCCGTAGCACAGACATTTTTTCCAGATTCAGTGGAATCCTTGCAATGGCTTATTGAGAATCTTTATTTTTAAACTGTTGGATTTTTTTGCTGATGTATTTTTGTCAAAATAATGAGCCTCGAGCCATCCTCGCTCATAAAGGACTTGGCCTTTTCTGGATGCTTCTTTTATACCTAAGCATGAAATTGAAATTGCCCTCATCCCAGCATTTTTAGAAGGCTTCAGCTAATACAATAAAGGAATGGTCTTTAAGCCAGTGTTGTGTATTCTCCCAAGAGGTTAAGATGAGTCCAAGTGGATTTCTACTACAGAATGAAGAAGCAGCGATATTTGAAAACTCCATTGATTTTTCTCATAAAGATAAACAGCTTAAACCCAGAGTTTCTGATATGAGCATAACGCCAACAACAGAATAGTTGAACGCATGACTTCAGAGATAATAAGTAAGTATTATTTCTTTAGTCCTCCCCTTCAGTATTATGACCGTCACTGTATATTAAATATTGATTGACTTTATTGAGAGTTATAGTACTTCTGTAACAAAGTAATAAATATAATATAATTTTTTAAATATTATTTTAACTTTCATGATTTTTCCTCACACTTTGTTAACGCTCAGAGTTTTACTGTTTTACTGAGATTTATTATTTAAATGCTCTAAATGATCTGCTTTCAGGTGTGTATTTTTGTGTGTTGGTTTTTTGTTTGTGTATTAGCGTGTAAACTCACATTCGAAATCCTCCTCGCTATATGAGCGCTGCTGTTCACTCGGCATTCTGGGAGTGGGGCTGAGAATGTTCTGGAATCTCTGAACACTCAGAGTTTTATTGAGATCACCTTCATCCTCCTCTTCCTCCCTGTGTGCTCCTCGACCTGTGGGAGGCGTGGGCTACAACAGAGAACCAAAAAAACACTTTATTAATTAGATTATTTCTTTAATTATTAATCTTTAGACAAGTCTAATACAATTAATATCTAGTACAGTTAAATACAAGTGAAAGGCTTTTAGTTCCTATATATAGTTTAGTAAAAGTTTCTGTGTAGTTTTTTCACCAAAAGTATATAAGACCATTAAAATCGCAGCAGTTATAATAAAAGTAAGCTCTCATCTAAATATTTTTCTATTGTGCTGTTTTTTTAAAAGTTTAGTAAAATATGTGCGGTGTCATTAATTTTACACCAGAGGGCGCCGTAATCAAATGAAACTGTACTGATGTTAAAGGGACATTCCACTCTAAAACTCGAGTTTACTATGTTATTTGTATTTTATAGTGAAGTATTAATTCCCTCAGCCTCACCTGTTTAACAGAATATATGGTTTTCTATTATTTTCATGTTTTTGTCCATCAATGTTCTCTCACTATAACACTTACCATACATTACACAAATACCTCATACAGCTATTGGGACACCCCTCCCCCTTCCATGATAAAGAAATCTACTGATGTAGATTCTAATTAATATTAAATACCATGATATTTTACCTCTTAGCTGTAAAGTTAACTATCTGGCTTACTTCTGCCTAAGCCACAGAGAAAACAGCCTACACTCATGAATCCACCCCAAAGCACTATTAATTTTTCTAAAGTTTCAAGATACTTCATTAAGAAAGTTTTTCTTCAGAAGATCTCACTCTAGAGATACTGCAGGACTGCCCTAGGTGGAGAGTAAGCACATTTACCACATGTGTAGAGATTTTTTAAATTTTTACTTTGGATGGCGTGTCCCTTAAAACTTGCTACTTTGTGACAACAGCCATTGTACAAAGTGCTTGATGTTTCAGAAGGATTAATGTAGATTATTTTCTCTGTGTTAACAAATGCTTTTCTTTTCTTTGCAATCCAATTTAATGTAATATTATTATTTGTAATAATAAAATAATAAACCACTCAAGTTTAAGTCACATTTTGAAGGCCTATTTTACATACCAGCAAAAAATAAAACAGCTGTGCTATTATTTCTAATCCTGAATGAACAAAAGTTACAGCAAGTCTAAATATACATCTGTCTAATCAGGAACCAGGGGGCACAATGTCTACAACACAAATATATACCTACACGTATCTTTTGAGGTTTTACATGCAATGTTGATGATAAAAAAATTGCACCTGTGGTGCACCTGAAAAAAGTTTTTTGCCTCACAAGGCCCTACATGTACCCCTCCACCATGAATGGGTTTTAAAAATACATTTTGACCAAACTATCATACAACAATGTCTCAGACATCAAGCAGTATGTTCATATCCATATCATGTAATAACTTTCTGTAAGAGGGAGTTTTTAGATGTGGATGTCTGGTTCCTGTCAGTACCACTGTGAACAATTCTGACTCGATAAGTTTTTCTAGAATAGAGCCTTTCACACCAAACCACTCTGAACTGCATGCAACTGCATACTAACTAAAACTCTAATCCTGATGGCTGTAGATTTAATCTGTTCAGACTGATTTAAATCGATTTGATACCAGGTGCAGCCTCACAATCCTCGATACCAAATAACAGTGCAGCAAAAAATGAAAATCACTCATCTGACCACTCAGAATTTGCTGGATTGAACACAGATAAATATTTATAATTAATGGATTCTTTAGACTTGAAAATGCTTCTGTACACTCACACATCTCATTTACAAACAATTATTTTTTTACTTATAGAAGGGTTATTCAGGGATACCAAAGTGGTTGTTTTGTGGCATCGCTCTGAAGAACTTTTTTAGCATGTGTATTTTTAAAAGTGTGAGTGAAATGCAGTGACTCATCAGGTCTTACAGCTTCTACTGTCTGCAGTTCATATTGACCTCTTAATTATTTTGTTTATTAATTTCTCACCTGCTACTGCTTTTTGTATAACAGAACAGAGTGTGCTGGTTTTATATATGGAAAAAAACAAATCAAACGATATAACTGAAGAAAATAAAGAATGTAAAATATTGAATTATTTGCCATAGTGCAATATTAATATGATATTGATCTCTTAAAACTTTGTGTAAATTTAGATTTAAAAAAGGGAGTCATGAGCCATAATTTTGACCTCAGAACAAAGCGGACAGTAAGCAGTCTGACCTTATTCATGCAGCCCATCCCATAAAATACTGGACAAACACACATTTACAGCTAACTCTGTTCAAATATGAGCTCTGATAGCTGATCTTCACCAAACGGTCAAAGGGTCACTTTTATAATCTCATTTTACTGCACACTGCTTTACAGAGTGACTCAGGATTAAGCTCAGGATTAAACCTACCTCACTCATGCTCAGGTGTGGTTAGCCGTGCTGGTTTAGATCTGATCCTGACAGTCAGTGACTGTTTAATAAAGTGGTTTATGGACAGTGTCCTCTCTCTGACCGCAGCGCTCTGAGCACTCTGTAAACTCGCTCACCGTTACAGCATTGAGAACAATGTAATCTCTCAGTCTCTCACTTCATAGCGTCCTTGTGAGTAAATATTGACTCCCTGCGTCTGCGCAGGTGAAGTGTGTTTGAGGATGTGGAGTAACCTTCTCTAGAACCTCAAAGTCACACAAACACCTAAAAACTCTCTCACATGCTCGGATCAGCACTCATAGTGTAACATTCAGTGTTAAAGAGGAACCAGAAAAAAATCTTTAGACCTGCAGATCAACTGTAGATACACTGTAATCCATAAACACATAACATTTTCAAATTTCCTGAATATTTAAGTGGTTTAGATGTAATCAAAGTCATTCAGAGTGGTTTGGTGTGAAATGCTCTGTTCTAGAGAAACTTACTGAGTCAGAATTGTTCACAGTGATGGTGATACATAATGGAGGAGTACATGCTGGGCATTGTGAGGTAAAATAGTTCCCAAAGAAAACTTTTTTTACATTTACCGCTATTTTGCATCATTAATATTACACATAAAACTCAGAAGACACCTGTAGGGTCACTGGTGGTTTTGAATATTAAATAAAAAGTATTTGTGTTGCAGACATCGCAACCCCTGGTTCCTATCACCACCTCTGTAAAGAAATCTGAGTCTCTACATGAACCATCCAATCAGGTGGTGCAGACTTGTCAGAGTGGTTTAAAGCACAGAATTATTTAGACACTGTGTCTAAAGTGTCTACTGTGTTCAGGTACATGGTAATGTTTTGTTTATGTTTATAGCTCACAGCAAGTCAGACTGTGTCCTAAACCATATCTACAAGTATGCACCAGCTTAATAAAGAGCTGGATGTGGTTTTGAGAGACGTTCTGGGATGCATTTACAGAAATAATTTGGGTGACTATTGATTTGTAGTGTTTGTTAGCAACATTAGCCTCATAGCTCCAGCACTACACAAAATAACAAAAATTTGGACGTCAAACATGTCTCAGCGGATCGACTACGTGTGGGTAATTGTGTATGCCAAAATATTTCTTTAAACCTGTAGGCATGTGACTGAGCACTGAAGAGCATCAGCTCTAGTCGATAAGACTGAACAGCAGTGAGATTATACTCAATTAAATTGCTTCAAAAACTCCTCAAAATGTCTTTAAATCTTTAAAACTCCTCAGACTGAGTGAAAGTAGAGTTCTATGTTATGATTAAAATACTTCAGACCGTAAAATAACATTACTGGCATGAATGAACCTGAGCAGAATTTGACTTTGACTGAAATGTTTGCATTTTTTAGTTTTTTTTTTACTATTTATTAGCATTATTTTATGGATTCACAGTAATGCCAAAAATGTATCTAGTAAGATAAACTTTCATAAAACTCTACACTGTAAACCTAGATACTGGTAAATTCTACAGTGTAAAAAGGTGTTAAACTGTATAGTGGGAAAGCTGTTAAACCCTGTGAAAGCTGTTAAACTCTACAGTGTAAGAAGCTGTTAAAATCTATAAAAAGCTGTTAAACTCTGCAGACTAAAAAGCTGTTAAACTCTGTAAAAACCTGTTAAACTCTACAGTGTAAGAAGCTGTTAAAATATGTAAAGTCCTAAACTCTATAGTGTAAAAAGTTGTTAAAATCTTTAAAAAGGTTTTAAACTTTTTCAAAAGCTCTTAAATGCTACAGTGTAAAAAGTGTTAAGCTGTTAAACTCTGTTAAAGGCTTTTAACTCTGTAAAAAGCTGTTAAACTCTACAATTAAAAAATGCTGTTAAACATTGTGAGAAGCTGTTCTACTCTGTGTAGAGCTGTTAAACTCTAAAAAAGTGTTAAGCTCTTCAGTGTAAAAAGCTGTTAAACTCTGTGAAAAACTGTAAAACACTGTAAAAGGCACTAAACTATATAAAGCTGTTAAACTCTACAATGTAAATAGCTGTTACACTGAAAAGCTGTTAAACCCTGAACAAGCTTTTAAACTCTGTAAAAAGGTTGTAACCTCAGCTTACTATTCAGTGTAAAAAGCTGTTAAACTCTACAATGTAAGAAGCTGTTAAACAGACTCAGAGAAGCTGAAGCGACACATCAGCATTTCTGAGTTTACTCTGAACTCACCACGTTACTTAACTCCTCTGTTCTGTGTACATTAGAGCACATGACCAATCAGGAGCGGAAACACCTTTAAAAATGCTACATTAACACCACGCTAACGCTACATTAACACCGGCTGATTACACAGTGCTCCTGCTGTAAACACTGACCTCCATGTAAAGGAACTCCATCAAACCTCTGCAACTTCTTCAAATTCAGAAGAGTTACCAACTTCCTCTTTAAAAAGTGCTTAAGTCCAGCATTAACTGACCATTTACATCCTGGTCATGTGATCACAGCTGCACGAGGATATACTCTAAAACTGGCACAAAAACTCAAACTCCAATTACTGCTCATCCAGCTTCCCTAAAAACACATAAACAACGCACAGTCACGCTTACAGCAGTTAATCATTAACATTTAGCTCACTGAGAAGGAGAGCCAGTAGCAGTAAACCAGCTTAAACTCAATACAAACTTCAGTACAACCCTCAATACCCACAACCTTCAATACAAACTGTTTCCTTACTCACACCAATCAGGTCCACCGCCCAGTAAACTACAGGCTGTAAACACGGTAAACTTCCTGCTCATAAGTCAGACATTTAAAAAGAAATCTGATAATGAAATGGCATAAGCTTTTAAAAATCCAGACACATTATAACTGTAGATAGACGCTTTATAGATGCTCTTTCTCTCTCTCTCTCTATACACACACACACACACACATATATATATATATATATATATATATATATATATATGTGTGTGTGTGTGTGTAAATAGTGTGTCTATATATATGCACTGAAGCCCTATGGACACATTAATAGCTTATAGCCGCATTAAACCCTTAGATGCATTAAAGCTTATAGCTGCATTAAACCCTAAAGCCTTGTTCAGACTGCCAGCCCAAATCCAATTTTTGGCATATCTAGATTGAATCCAGATTGATTTTTGATAGTTTGGACAGTAGAAAACCACATGAAATCCAGTTGGGTCACAACCACATTAGGAAGTGTTTTTTTAGTTGGATTTGTACAGATGCTTGTCAATCTGGACGCTTTGGTTGCTTAAAGTAGATTTCAGAGTATTTTTTGCATCGCTCACAATGTGACAAATAACGACAATGTCAAATTAGATTCAACCCAGCAACCCAGGCAGGTTGGTGATGTCTGGTCACACAAATCAGTGCTAATCACTTGTAAATAACAGTGCGGACAGCCATCTTAAAAGGTCTGATTTGAGAAACAAATCTGATTTGCCTGCAGTCTGAACATTAGAAGCCTTGGATGTATTAAAGCCTTATAGGTGTGTTAAAGCCTTATAGATGCATTAAGCTCTTAGGCCCTGTTTACACCTTGCATTATTTATTTATTTTTTTTGATGATCAGAACCACATTCGGAGGTAGTTAGAGACACATCTTGAACAAGGTATAAACGGAATTTGTTTTTGTTATCGACACAATTATGTGAGGGGAAATGCTTCTGCCGAGTGCTGTCTGGCAAGTGAGAGGATAAACAATGAAAGGAAAGATGGAGGACACGCACGGCTGAAGTTAGCCCCGGACCAAGAGCCTTCATGCACTCCAGGCCTGTGAAAGTGTCCAGGCCAAGCATATCCACTCTTATAGTAACGGGAGAAATGAGTGAACAAAAGTAAAATGGAAACAACATATGTGTTGACATGCTTTTCACACTGGGCCCATTTTAGTGAAAAGTTTAAATGGAGTCTGGCCAAAGTTGATCCAGATACGATCCGGACATGAAACGCATGTTCATGCAAGGTGTAAACAGGCTCTTAGAGGCATTAAAGCCTAGTAGATGCTTTAAAGCCCTGTAGGTACGGATTAAACTCTTACAAGTGCATTAAACTCTTATATGCATATTAAACTCTTGTAGGCATGTTAAAGACTTACAGATGCATTAAAACCATATTTGTGCATTAAACTGTTACAGACTCACTAAACTCTTATATGCGCATTAACCACATAGTTTCTTTTTTTAATTTTTATCTCAGCAGTCAGTCATTATCAGTTGGTGAGGTAAGCATCAATAAAAGAGATTTTAGACAAGTGTCTATCAGATGTGAAATAGGTAATTGTTAAGACTGTTATTTTATAAAACTGATTTAAAAATGGCAAACCTACTGAGATTGTGGACTATCCAGACAATCACTATAACCATATGTTTAGGGAACTGACTGCACACCCCCCTCCGCCAAAAAAGGAAAATCACCTGAGATATTCAGAAACATTTGTTTCTACTTTTTTGCTTTTTCCAAACTCATGAAAAAAGGTGAGAATAGTGGAAAGCAACATCATCCCAAATGATGGTACACAGGAGACCAGAGATAGTGTTTGTCAGTAGAGGGACATGTGATCGATGTATACAGTGTTTGACTTACTTATTGACGTTTAAAAACAAAATGTACAGTGAATGTGTGTCGACAGGGTGGACCTTTCTCCCACATTCTGTCATGGACAAGTCATGATTGATGATCTGGTCTATAATTGTTTTGTCTGAATTTTACTGTAAATTGATTTGTATGTAAGGCCTTCTTTGGGCCCCTCTGACACAATGTAACCCTTCACTGATGCATACTTAGGCGTGGGGTTTTATGTCATTTTGGACACTGTTGCCCTCCTCCACGCTTGCCTTTGTTTCAAAAGTATAGAAAAGGAGAAAAGGCAGCAAGTGTATTTGTTTCTGAATATTTAGGTTAGTAGATTGCATTGAAATATATCTCTGGTAAAACTACCCAAGAGACAAGAGTAGGTTTCACATTGTCATATTCTCACACTTTGGCACAATTTAAATCTGTTTACAGTACAGTATTAGCAGATAGTACAGCGTTAATATACAACACTAATGAAGGCTGAAACCTGAGAAATTTAAACCTGTATTTTGTGTTTTTTGGTCAGTGTTTAGTGAATGATTGAAGGAATTTACTGTCCTGATAGTGAGTTGTAGTGTTTGATGGAAAAGTTTACTTTCGTGTTGTGTGTTTAGTGTTTTGTAGAACATTTTGCAAAGAAAAAGTTATTTTGGCCAGCAAGCCTCTGTTTATTATCGCATACTAACTGTTAAAATATGGCTTCTATATGGACAGTAGTGTTTAAGCAACTGAGAAAATCTGTAAGCAGCTAAATCGATCTGGAACTAAACAGATTATTTATTTTTGCTGCGTCTCTGCTTGCTCTTTCTTAGACAGATTAATTCCAGCTTGTCAGTCGTGGTCAGAGCTCTGTGGCGTGTTTGGCATTGATTTTGTAGAGTAATCAGTTTTTAGAGTGAAGATTTTTGTTAAAGGAAGCAGTTCAGTAGATCATGTGATCTTTAAAAAACACAGAAGTGAAAAACTCGCAGACAGGTGAAGACATTACAGAGCATTGTTTAACACTGCAGAGAAAGAGAGAAGAGAGAGTGAAACAGAGAGAGAAGGAGAGAAAGAGAAGAGAGAGCGAAGCAGTGAGAGAAAACAGTGAATCAGAAAGAGAGAGATACTGAGAGAGAGATATACAGAGAGAATGTGGAGAAACAGAGAGAGAGAGAGAGTGAAGGAGCGAAAGAAAAGTGAGTGAAACAGAAAGAGAGAGATGCAGTGAGAGAGAGTATGAAACAGAGAAAGCAATATAACGATACAGAGAAAAAGAAGCAGATCTAAACTCTGTAAATGCTGAGTCAGCTCTGTGTGCACTAAACAGGAAGTGATGCAAACCGGAGAAACTGTCGAGTGGGTCGGTGGGTTGGATGGGGGGTTAAACTGATAAAAACCTGCTTGTTTGCATCCTGACAGTCCAGAGAATATTAACCTCTTTTGTTTTTGCTGAAATTTGCTGAACTGTTCAATTTCCAGAAAAACTGAGATTTTCTGTTAAATCTCTGTTAAAATTAGCAGCTCTGCTGTTAATTTATACCAAGTTAACACAATAACACACTTAAACTAAACTAAAACATAATCTAATAAAAAAAAAAAATTCTCTGTTCAGGCGTTCAGCCTGTTTATTGTGTTGAGGTGTTTAGCATGTTGAAGAGTTTAGCATGTTTGGTTGTTTAGCATGTTCAGGTGTTCACAATGTTCAAGTCTTTAGTGTTTTCAGGTGTTCTGCATGTTCAGGTGTTCAGCATGTCCAGGTGTTTAGCATGTTTGAGCATTCAGTGTGTTGAGGTGTTTAGTCTGATCAGTGTGTTTAGGTGTTCAGTGTGTTATGGTGTTCAGCATGTTCAAGTGTTTAGTGTTTGGGTGTTTAACCTGTTAAGGTGTTCACTGTGTTCATGTGTTTAGTGTGTTTAGGTGCTCAAGTGTTCAATGTGTTTGAGTGCCTAGCATGTTTAGGTGTTCAGGTGTTTAGCATGTTGTTCAGTGTGTTCTGGTGTTTAGTGTGTTTGAGTCTTTAGCGAATTATGATTTTTATTTTATTATACAGTATCATAAACAATTAGTGTACTTACAGAGTGGATGATTGCTGCTCCATGATCAGTCCGTTCAGCGGTTCGGTGGTTGTTCATCCTGCTGGCTTTTATTGTACAGATGATTGTGCAGTGAAATCTGACTGGTTCACACTTTAGCCTTTCTCTTTCTCGCTGGAGTTCAAATACAAACTCATGAGCAACATAACCTGAGCACAAAGAACACAGAACACATTCACATTCAAACGCTTTCGCATCACACTGGAACTGACCACAGAACTTTCATATCAGCTCTGAGCTGAGTGACCTTGAAGGTCAAAGTGAACTTTAATGTAAACCCTAAATTTGGTTTTCAGATGAAATTACTTTGTTGTGAAAGTTACGGATCTAAATTATTTCTGTGATAAATAAAAGGTCAGACAGTACAAAATGTCTCTGGATCACTCCTGGACACAGCGGTGTACCATACCACTGTTATTATTACTCTACAGATTATTATAAACCAGCAGCCTTTTCAGATCAGCGAATCAGAGATCTATCTATCTATCTATCTATCTATCTATCTATCTATCTATCTATCTATCTTCGGATTCAGTTGTTGTAATGTTGGTGCCTCTTGTAGGTCATGAATGAAATTCTTGCCCTTTTTAATTTCCCACTAAAATACCTTTGCAAATCAATAAGGCTATTTTCCTTTGATCATTTATAAATAATACACTATGATCTAGCTATGAAGCTGATGGTATAAATATATACATTCATATATTAGTGTTTTAATCATAAGCAAATAGTTTTAATTAAGATATTTCAAATGTAAAAAATATTATACAGCTTTCTAAACCTTTATTTAATCATCTAAAGCTGTACTTTCTTTTCATTTTTTAGCTTCCTACAAAAGTACCTGAAACTTTGAAATTGTGGCATAGTCTCATTCTATTTTAATTTAACTTCACTTTATTAAACCATTTAACCCTTAAAAGGGTTAAAAGTACAAAAAACAGATACAGTCAGTTGCTGCTAAACAGCATTGTGGCGCTGAATGAGGGAAAGGGTTTCTAAGAATATATAAAATTTCTTTTCTTTGTTTGGTCAGTCAAACCACTGATTTGACCATAATGTGGTCCAATTTTATATATTCTTATAAATCCTTCCCTCAATTAGCACCACAATTTAAAACAACGTCATTTAAACCAGACTTAAAATTCCTGGGGGAAAACAAATAAAATATTAAATTATCCGACTTAAATCTGAGTATAATACCGTACTACATTATTGTGCTACAATGCCATACTACAATACTGTGCTACAACTCTGTGCTACAATACTGTACTACAATATTACACCACAGTACTGTACTGCAACACTGTGCTACAATACTGTGCTACAACACTGCTACAATACTGTACTACAATATTATTTTATAGTACTGTACTACAACACCATGCTACAATATTATACCACATTAGTGTACTTCTATGCTGTGCTACAATACTGTACTACAATATTATATTACAGAACTGTAATACAACACTGTGCTACAATATTATACTACAGTACGATGCTGTGCTATAATACTGTACTACAAAACTGCTACAATACTGTACTGCAATATTATACTACAGTACTGTAATACAATGCTGTGCTACAATACTGTGCTATAGTGCTATATACTTTATTACAACACTGTACTACAATACTGTATTACAACACTTTACCTGATTTCTGCACTACAACACTACTAGAATACTGTATTTCAGTATTATATTAGAATACTGGAAGACAAAGTTAAGTTAATTTAAAAAAAATATATAAACTTCCATTAATTACAGCTTTTTTCTATCTTAAAAGACACTTAAAAGAAAACTTCTGTTGCTGTTGAGCAAGGTCACAGATATGATAAGGTTCTGTATGATTATAACAGAGAGCCAAAGTACAGCTCCAGATCAACATTAAAGGACACATTAAACAAACAGTGAAGAAGGAAACACTGCAGATATGCACAACTCTGACTGTAATTCAGACAGGAAGGAAACACCAACCAGTAAACAATTATACCCATAACAAAGAATTAGACTGGACATCTTCATGTTTTTTTGTGTATGTATTGAAAAAATGACATTTATTTTAATATTTACATTTAAATATGGGCTCTGTTGGGGAAAAGGTCAGGAAATGGTCAGAGAAAGGTCACAACCCTTTCAAATCATGTCAAACACATTTAGCTGAGTGTTTTAACTGCAGAAATATTTAATCGGTCCTGTGAGTGTAATTTTAAATCAATTTTAGGTGAAAAGTCACAGTTGTGTTTATGTAATGTATATGTTTACTCATATTTTGTCGTTAACAGGTTAACACGCTACACATGTTGGTTTCGCACATCAGTTGCAGGAAACTAATTTATGATCTTTAATAATTGTAATAAACAGATCATAACTCACTCACATCCTGCCAGTTTCTGGTTTATAACTTTTCAATCCCTGTTTGATATTTTGGAGAAAACTCTTGATCCAAAATGATTTACAGACCCACACTGTAAAAACAGAAAATCAACTCAACTTAAAATTATATGTCAACTTATTACACTGCGTCTTTCAGTTAAGTTAATCTGAGGATCACGCAACTCAGACTTCTTAGTTTAGTTAAAAGTTCTGATAACTCACATTTTTAGTACTGCATCTTAATTAGAAAAACAATATAGAACATACATATTTTTAATTTTCCCCACCAAGTGAGACTCTTTTCATTAGGCATTTTCTGAGCTCCAAGTTTAGGACAGCTGTGGCATCACCCAGGTTTGAACCCACAGTCCTCTGATTAATAGGGCAAGTCACCACTTTGGGGCTCCTGAAATTGGTTAAGTTTCTGTGTCCAAAAATATTTAATACATTGTAAAAAAAAAGCAAAGTCAGGCTGTGTTAAGACTGATATATGTAAATGAACTCTGAATGGGTAGGGCTAAAGTGCATAGTTTCCAGATGTGGTAATTTAACATATGTTGACATGCTACAATTAACTCTTTCCTAAAAAAATCAAGGAAAACTGGATTTAAAATTTATTTGGATTACAAATATTTCAGCATTTGTTGAAAATGAAAAAAAGCTACATGAGAAACATAAAAAACTAATAATAAAACACAATACATTGATTCAAAGATAGCATGAACATCAGAAGAAGGCATATTTGAACAGATCCTAAGATGCTGAGCGACTGGTAAGCTTTTAGAAACAGGGGCCAGGTTGGGTGGTGCCAGGACAGGGACCAGTCATAGATGTACTAAACTGTTTCCCTCTCCTGGCTCCACCCTTTCTAGTGTCCTCACATTTCTCTTCCCTAGTCCTGCTCATTCATTACTCCTTCCACCTGTGTTTAGTTTATAACTTGTCTTTTGCAGGTTTATCTAGTTGTGTATGTTCTGTGTGTGCTGTTTTTGTTTCAGTGTTCCTCTCTCAGGTCTGTATCAGTATATGCTGATTCTCCTGGTTTCTTGGGTTAGTTTTTATTTTACTCAGTTTTTTGTTTAGTTTAAGTAAATTTAATCCTGCATCAACACCTTTTGCTGTTTGCTACCCATATGCTATAATAATCAGTTTATCAGTATATTTCTGCCGTTGTCTTTCAAAGCTTCATTAATTTAAATAAGTGCCATTAAAGGAGCAGTTTCAATTCTAAGATCTGTGGTAAAATACTTGACATACACAAAGTGTGTATTTTGCAAATGTTAATAAATGTTATTCAATAGTAAATTATTCAGTGTGGATTGAACTGTTAGAAACTAGACACCAAAACAAACAATGGTTTACTCACAATTTATATTATTTTGGGAGCAACAAGGATGAAGTGATTAATAATTCTTATAGGTAATTATCTAATTATAGTAAATTAGTTTTTAATAACATTTATTATGAATATCTGTGAGTGATAAGTGAGATTTGATCACTGCTTTTCCAACATGAGGCATTCTGGATATCAATTTTATTACAAGTTAACTCTGGATGCTCTACAGCTTTGTCAGTTATTATGAATCATCTACATCATTTTCATATTATTAAAAACAGTGATTATAAACTTCTTAACAGCAGAGTATGAATGTTGCATTGACCAGAATCTTCTCAAAACTATCATAAAGCAATGTTTTAGATATCAGTCAGCATATTCATAATCATTTCATGTAATAACTTTCTGTTAGAGAGCCTTTAGAGGTGGACATCTGGTTCCTGTCACCACCACTGTGGACAATTCTGACTCTGTAAGTTTCTCTTGAACAGAGCGTTTAACACCAAACCACTCTGAATGACTTTATTGATCTGTTTCAGACCAGAAATATGCTGTGATTGACTATACTCGAGGGAAGTGGGAGTTCAGAGCACAGAATTATGTCATTCTGAGCATGTTTGAGCTACAAAGTGGGAGAAAAAATTAATGTTGACATTATAGATATGATGTTGATATGACCTCATGTGGTGGAGTTGAACCTTTCTGAGCAAGGAATTCCCAGTTGAAAGGACATGTCTTTTGGTTGGAAATTCTGAGTAATGAGCTTTAGATGAACTCATTTTGCTGTTTAATTGTGATCAGTCTGTGAGAGCACAGCACCCCCTGGAGCCCTACAACCTACGACCTTCTGCTCACCTCTCTGACCACTATACTACCATCCATTCTGAGAAATCTCCCATCAGATATAACAACATTCTTAGTTAGAGTTTCGGTTCAGTTTACCTTTAAAAAACATCAGTTACTGTCTCAGAGTTTACAGACTGGGCTGGTTTATGAACAAAGTCGCTTTTATAGCATAATTTACTGTTTCTAAAGTTAGCAAATCCTCTTGCTCAACACATCCATTACACACAATTCCAATTTCGGAGTAAAACTTCCAATAAAAATGCCATTCTAGAAAAAGCAACATTATAAAACCCTTAGAAGAGAAATTGTTTCAGTTATAGTCAGAGACTCCAGTTAAATCACTTACATTTAACACAATTGAACTTGACACAGAACACAAAGTGATTCTTCTTATATGTCCAGAACTAAGATGTAAACTATGGTTAATGTACAAATGTAAATTATGTATATGTCAGTTCATTTACATATGCATTAATGCAAATCAAACAGTAGATCTGCACTCATTGATCAGTCTTCAGAATTTATTTCCACTGTCTGACCAAAAAAGAAACAAACAGGAGTGTCGCCACGGATAGGCCTGAGTGAGTCTGGGCCAACCCAGACTGATTACAGGCTTACCCAATGACACAGAGAAAGATTATTTATTAAGCCAAATTTTTGTCAAGATATTCAGAATGAAATTTGATTGGTTTTCTGTCACTGTATTATGACTACTCGAATCATTACGCTCACTGCCAAGCTTCGCCTTATTTTCTTAGCCATCAAATCACTGCTTAGCAACCATTGTCATCCACCATTGTCTCAAGCCTTTGATTTGTTATAAGCACACCAGTGTTTGAATTTGAAGCACCAGTTTCAGTTAAAAGATGTAACCGGGGATGTTTAAAATTGTAAAATTGTGTAAAATTGAGATTCCATACCGTAGAGTATGTAATTTCTACTGATTTCAAAACCAAAAACTAATTTAAAAAACATTGTTGTTGTCAGTTTTCTACAAATTTGGTACTTACAATGCCCCTTTATTACTAAGGCTGAAGTGGGCTTTGTGAAAAAGTCTACATGTAAAAATGTCTACATTTACTTCAGTAACTTACATTGAGTGGTCAAATATACAACAACTGAACCATAAACATTTTCCATGTTTGGCATAACAATATGCTTTAGCCTACGATGAATAGTTTCAGGTTGTTTTGTTTTCAGTAGCTGCTGGATGATTAGTTTTCAGTAGCTGTGTTGTTTTTCCTCATCTTTGTCCATCTTCAGCTGTCTGATTATTACATGGTCATGTCATCTTCTTTGGCCAAATGTGCCTGTTCTTGTAGATACTTTATAGTGACGGGTGCTGAGGTGTTGGTTGTGTTTATATGAATTCAGTAGTCTGTTTGATTGCTATTGTATATTATAAGGAACAGAAACGTTGGAATAAGTAAGGTGATGACTGCACTGCTGTCAGTAATAGGCTAGAGCCTGATGTAATGTCATTGTGAAACATAGCGCATTTGGAAATTGTATCTACCAAGTTAGTCTATGCATTTTTCACAGGCCTGCCTAAAAATGTATTTCTGCCTGTGCCACTGAGTAAAACTGAGTGACATTTGAAAACTGCAGAGGGGTTAAAGGGGTCTAGGGGGCATGTGGGAACTGCACACTAAGTAAATCTGCTTGTTTATATCCTCATAACATACAGCACATCCCTAAAATACAGCCAATAAAGAGAGCTCCATATAAATCTACAATGTTATTCAAGGTACCTGTAAGTTTACTTTAGTGCTGCCTGCCTCTATAGATGCCTGATGATCCAGTTCTAGTTTTGTAAATCGTACACCATCTAAATATATCCTATCAATGTTATTGATGAATAAAAATACATAGTTCAACTGAGGGAGCTCCAAAACAGACAGAAATTATATTTTATTACTACTGTGATAAAAGATTAATTAGATTTTTGTGGCTAAATTAAAGAAGACAAACTACAACATGTACTGAACTGAGCTATTATCATATTATTTTATTCCAAATGCTCCAACCAAAGCTGCTCACGCATTATTACTGTTTTCCATGTCTGCTTCAGAATGTCACAGAATAGTCGCATGTATAAAGTGCGGAGGGTTAAGTGGGGCATGATGATTGGTTAGTGGGACATTGCCCCTCTAAAGACCCCCTAATGCCAAGCCTGGTTTAAAACAATCAGCTTCATTAACCTGATTAATCTAATCAAATCTTCAGATGTCAATATTTGTATTATGGTTATTATTATTATTGAAATTGTTGTTGTTGTATACTGTTTAGGTAAAGAGTTCAGTGGTCTAAACACCTTAAACATTCAGTTAATATGATCAGTTTTGTTTATAAGTAGTAATAGACAGTAAAGTGAGACTCACCCCTCTGAGTTTTTACTGCAGAGCGTCGACTCCAAACATTTTACTGTAAAACTCTCACATACACGCTGTGCACCGCAGATCCCTGAGAGAATGTATGAGTGAACGTGTGAGGGATCAGCAGGATTATGTTTCCTCTCTGGACTCACACACACACACATACACACCCATGTGATCACAGCTCACTGATGAGTCAATCACACACTAGTATGTGTGTATATACGCATCCATGCACACTCACATACACACACACACACATACACACTCAGGAGTTCCCAGTGTTTCCTGTTCGGCTGAATTTTACAACACAGAGTTTATTTATGATTAGTCCTGTGCCCAGAGATAATTAACCTAGTTACTGCGGTAACAGCACGCAGTGACAGTAAAAACTTACCGCCAGTTTAAAAACCTGCCATTTCATGTTAAGCACAGCAGGACACTGCTTTCCCACATATGATCATAACTTAACTGTTAAACATGTTGATGTGATCTATGACATTTCTTGTACTTATACAGGTGAGATTCCTGTGTAAACATGGCTGTTGAGGTGAGCTGGTTGAATTACAGTGAGACAGCAGATAGACGTCAAGCCACCTGGCCTGTTAAGAAAAGTACCCTTTATATCAAATTTAGTTCCACTTCAGTGCTGCCTGTATCTATATAATCCTGTACAAAAAGCCACCTGCTTGTTAAGGTGAATATTTTAGGATCCTCAGATCACAGAATCAGGATCTGCACAACATACACAACAGATTCAGGTCTCTTATGAGTAAAATAATCTTTCAGTGCTCATACATTCAGGCAAAATGGGTAGTTTCAAGCTAAGCTAAGCAAAGACGGTAAAGTTCCTGATTCTGTTCTTTTTTACTGGTTATTTACAGTTTTAATGGTCAAATGAAAGCCAATACATCATGCAAATCTGCCCTGCTAACACATCCCGCTAACCTGCCCCACTAACACATCCAGCTAATTTTCCACCGCTAACACATCCTGCTAACATATCCGACTAATCTGTCCTGCTAACACATTCTACTAACCTGCCCTGCTAACACACACATCCTGCTAACCTATCCTACTAACCCATCCTGCTATAACCTGCCCTGTTAACACTTCCTGCCTACCTGTCCTGCTAACACACCCTGCTAACCTGCCTTTCACTCACAAAAAGTGAAAATGTTCTGTTAAGGATAAAGAAATTCTATTTACAAGCAAGATCAAGAGTTAATGTTAATATTTCATTATAATTGTACTCGTTTTTATCTTTACCTAATTTTACCCAAATTTTATGTTTTTAAATGGTTGATTATTACTGTAAACTGTGATATTTTTGACTACATTATCAAACATCTCTAGACCCTCTAGATCACATGATCTACTTTTTGAATGAACAGTAATGAACAGTTATGAATGAGTAGTAATGGTGAATAAGCTGTTTTGGCTCTGAGCGTATCAGCGTGTGTGTGTGTGTTCCGATATCTGTTCATTATCTCTAAATGAGTGTATAATGTGTGTAAACTCATTGATTACTGCATTAATCACGTGATTTGTGTTTAGTTGCAGATAAAATTTCTTTCACAGAAAATGTGTCATTTTAGTGGGTTAATCTGGGGGAATTCTACACATGTTAAGAAATTACTTCATAAATAGCAGGTTTTTAAATTTTTTACGGTTTTACATTGTATAATTTCACTGAATTAAATGTGTCCTAGTACTTTTTGCTGTAAATATTAAATCCAGAGCAAATAGTAGAACAAAAAGTCATGGAAAAAAGGGTAGCCTGTGCATGTAATAATAAAAGTGATAAAAAAGAATTTTGCGTTTCAGGTGATAGGAAAATGAAGGGAAAGTTGCTAAAAAGTGAAAATATACCTAAACTGAAATATCAGCACTCTTAATCAACTCATAGATCTATTTTATATAGTTTTTATAAAGGATTATAATAACTTCCACATTTGTACAAATTTATTTCTTTCAAATATTCTTTACATTAGTTTTTTCATAGAATAAATGCTGATATCAAGTACATCCAGCAGAGGGCAGTGTAGGTAAAGGCTGTTTAGTAGCTTGATTGCAAATTTACACTTCAGTCTGATACTGAGTAATGCCGGACATGATAGCCTATATTAAAGCTTTTCCATTAATGTTAAATAAACAGCCACGTGAACTTATTGTTTATTGAAATGCTTGGTGATCTGCCAATATACAGCATTCATAAACATGTTTAATATTTTTTTTCCAAATATTGGGCTAGAATAGTCTTTTTTTTCGATAGTGAAATTCAGTGTTCAGCTCTGTGTCTCTGACTGCTGTAAGTTTTCACACATTACTGACCAAACTTCACAGTGTTCTGCCATTTGGAAAGATCCAGTACTTTAACACAACAGTGCTACGTTCTTTAAGGAGAAAATACTCAAGAACACGTCCAGCTGAGCCAGCGTCCAGCACAGCAGCATAACAAATGAATGTTGACATCAGTCTGTATTTTTTAGCTTCATCAGAAATGACAACATCAAGAATATCAGCATTATCTTAATAAATAAATGCACGTAGTCACTCTACAGAAATATTACACAAGCCCATAAAAATATTTAAATAACTTCAATGTAGACACAAATATCTGTATTTACTGCAAATAATTTAACTGCAGGTTGACAGTTTAATTATTTAATATTAGCTGTAGGACACTTTACTATTGGCTTTAGGTTGGTAAGGCTGTAATATCCAAAAGTTTCTCAAATACTGTAATAATAAGTGTAAAATACTACACAACAAATGTCAAACACAACATGAGGCCCCTCCTAACACAGTGCTTTTACAGGAAGTGTCTGTTTTGAGAATTCAGCAAGAAACAGGAAGATGGTGCTGAATCTTTTATTGCCACCATCATCAAACTGGACCCCATTAGCACTTTTAGCTCTGTAACACTTTTATGTCTGTAATCCTTTCAGCTCTGTAACACTGTCAGCTCTGTAACCCTTTCAGCTGCATAACGCTTTCAGGTCCATAACCCTTTCTGCTCTTTAACACTATAAACTGCACAGCGCTTTCAGCTCTGTAACGCTTTTAGTCCCATAAGCCTTTCAGCCCTGTAACGCTTTCAGCATTGTAATACTTTCAGCCTTGTAACCCTCTTAGCTCCATAATCCTTTCTAGACTGTAACATTATAAACTGCACAACACTTTCAGCTCTGACACACTTTTAGTCTCATAAGCCTTTCAGTCCCGTAACGCATTCAGCCCTGTAACCTTCTCAGCCTAGTAGCCTTTTCAGCTTAACACTTTCTACCCCCATAACCCCCATCAGCCTTGTAACTTCTACCTATCTATCTAGATAGTGAGTAAAATAATCGACATACAGTGTGAAAAGGGTTATGGAGCTGAAACGGTTACAAGGCTGAAAGCATTACAGTGCTGTAAGGGTTACAGGGCTGAAAGCATTACAGAGCTGAAAAAATATATATATAATACAAAAACATTTTTACTGAGAAACGTCCACATCACTAAAATTGAATCATTTGTTAATTAAACAGCACTCCTGTCATTCTTAGAAGATTTCTCAAACAAATAAAATGAAAAAAATCCTGACCATCAGCTTCAGCAGGACAGGAGTGAAGACGGTAAATCTCATTTTATGTATTTACTGTAAAACGAGTTTAAAATCTGATAAACTGAACAAATGAGCCGAGTGAAGATCTCAACCTACCTCTCAACCTACCATTCAAAGCTTTAGTTTATTTAACATCTGTTTCTGAAATAAATATCTGGGTTTATCTCTCACATTCGAGTCTTTGTGAGTAAGAGAAGCACTAGGGGTGAGCCTCAAAGGAAACAAGTGAAGAGAAAAAGAGACACACCAAAGGAAACACAAATGAAGCTCAGATCTCAAGACCTGCTGCAGAAAATGAGTGGCTTTTAAAGGGATTTTGGGAAATATTGCGTCTAAAATGACAAGAAAACACGGCAGGAGTTCAACTTCCAACTTGAACAGAGATCAGATTTATACTGAATAAATAAACTATTAAACTCTATAACTAGCATAAACATAAAAAGATAACAAAGATAAATAAGAAAAAAGAAAGAAAAGTAACATAAACAATAAAAGATTAGAATGTAATATTATAGATTTTCTTCTGCCATAACAAGTTCAAATCCAAAACTGATATTCACAAAATCACACTCATGAAATCTAAAATAAACCTCATTACTGAGAAGTAAGAAGGAATAAATTAGTGGTTTGGTAGATGTGAGGTTGTGATGTGTAGCTGTGAGATTGTGACCAAAGAAGGACAAGAAGGTGATTTTAAAGTCTGCTTTAATGACTCAAATGTCAATTTAAAAAGAGAAAACTACAACAATATGTAGTAATATAAAATATGTATGTACCTATAACTATAAAGTATTCAGACTTTAGAAATTTACAAGGATTATATTATTATCTGTTTAAACCCAAGGCATTCATTGAGATAGTTATAAGCTAAAAATATAGGAAATCATCATTTATAGGGTACTTTCTATTGAGGTGGCTGTCCCAAATTCTAACCCCTTAATTTCAGCTTGTGAAAATAAAACTTACTTTTTTCTGCATTTGTGAATGGTTTGTGCTAAAAGTTTCAAATGAAATTAAAAACTCCACAAGCAAAATATTGAATATCAAAATGCCCCAAATATGCTGCAGTTTTTGCTTTAGTTTTTATATATTTGTTGATTTTGATGCTATACTTTTTGCTTGTGGAATCGTTTGCTTCTGAAATATTTCTTTTGCCTCTGACTTCTGGCACTTTTTAACAGGGGGTGGGTCTTAGAATGAGGGAGTTCACCTGCACTTTCTATTGGTCAACTGATTTGGAGTGAAAGAACAGGTTGCCACTCAGCATGAACTTCCCCAGTAGGGTGATACAGTACACATTCAGTACACACTGTACTGAGTTCTGCCATGGGTTTAGTGTTGTACTGGCATATCTGACATTATAAGCAATATTTATCATATTCCTTTTGAATTATTAAAGTAACACGTGTAGGGATACTGTGTCAACCTGTAATAAAGGATATAACTGCTATTTTAAGCATTGACAGACATAAACTTAATAGTTTATGAATGTATGAAGCTGTACCACCATTCGAGTTTGCACCTGTTAGCGCTAGCTATCCTAGCAATGTCCTCTATGGTAGAGCTCTGCACTCCTGCAAAATCCTCCTGGACTTGGCACAATATCTTGCAGCATTGGGCTAATTTTCAGTGTTATCCCAGTAAACACAAAGCAGAAATTAAACAACAGAGTGGTTAGTTTTAATGTTTTGCTGGGCTCAGCAGCTGTGGCCATTAGACTATAGGCTCCACTTTCTCTGTAAGCTACAAGAATTTGCAAATTTGTTGTTCACATGATTGGTTGCTCGCAACTCTTAAGAAAGACTTCATTAGTTTTCATTTTTTTGTTATCGATTTATATTGTTAATATGTATGATTTAGTGATCATTCTACTTTATTTAGGCTAAGCTGAAAGTTGAAGACATTCAGCATCTGTTTCACTCTGTGGCTCACAGACGTGTATCAAACTGTACAGTGTATCAAACTGTACAGTGTATCAAACTCTACAGCAATTATATAATATTTCATAAATATTGCAAATGATGTAGATTCAGTATATTTAACTGATCATATTGAAGAAAAACTCAAAATTCCTGTTAAAGTTCTCTTTATTATTCAGATTCACTCCAGATATCAAATTCCCACACTGCCCAAAATTCAAGGTATAAAACATTCAGTTATGTCTGCGCTTCCTCTGCTAATTTCATTCTAGATTAACTTTATTGCTGATATGTGGTGCAGTAACTGATTGTGTTGTGTTGACTGAGTTGACAGTGTTGACACACTGAGATTCAACGCTCATAATAATACACACTAAAAGAAAGATAAACAAACAAACAAATACATACTTACATAAAAGTCTCCAAAATGCAGTATATTATTATGTTAGATGATCTTTTTGTGTTTCAAAACAATATTAGGCTGCTTTGGGGCTCAGAACTGGCCTACAGCTCTGTAAACATTTTTCCTCTTTGAACCTCAACATGCTGGTGTTTTAGTGGCTCTCAAAGCTCAACAGGTGTCAGACTCTCCTCTACGTTGTGCACTCCTAACACTGAAAAGTTCTGTTACTAATTTAAACTATTTAAACCTTTGCTTTTCACGTCCAGCACTGAAAACAAGTCAACAGGACAACAAATAGAACAAAAAAAGTGGCCGTTTTATAAAGGCACCAATCCACTTTTAAGTAATAGAAGTCAATACATAATTTTTTTTTGAAAATTGTGTGGATGCAAAAATGTAATCTTTTAAATGATGTGATATGATGAACTGTTCTTTATATGACCAGGAACATGAACTAACGATGTAAGAAAAAGCTTAGATTTCAGCTTAGATTTCAGGTTCAATTTGAACCTGCTCTACTGCAGCTGTACGGCAGGTGGCAGTAGTGTGCTCTACTGCTGTGATTGATTCCACAGAAGAAGGAGAGAAGTGGAGCTTAGCTCTGCTAAACAGTTTTAGAATAAAAACATTTCAAAAACTCTAAATTATAATTTTAATAGTTCGCTGACAAATCACGCATTTATTCCAGATTGACCTTCGGGACGGATTAAACCTTCGTGCTGCAGAATGGCGTCGCCGGTGAGATTTTACAGCTCTAAGTTCGGCTGAGTTTCAGAGTTTGAGAGATTGTGTTTGTGTTGTTTCAGGTTCTGTGTTTGTTTGTGTCTCTGAGTATCAGTTTTAGCTGGAAAAACGAGTGATTATATTGACATTATATCATATTTAGTGTGTTTTTTCAGAAACAAGGCTGAAGTTTGATCCTTAGTCGCCAACTTCTTATTCGAATTTTCCGTTCCACCTTAAACACTTTCGAAAATTCGATTAAGAAGATTAAAACTCCTAATTAAAGTGTAAACCGTGGGTGTTTGTTTGTTTACTAACTTTGTTTTGATGCCTCGTGGCTTAAAACGCTCTTAAAGTGCAGCTGATGTGGAAAAGTTAACGTTTAATAATAAAATAACTTTAATAAAAACATTGAAGACAGCAGTGAAGCCGCGAGTCTAAAAGTGAAAGTTAAACTCTTCATATTTGTGTAATGGTATGAACACCAGTAGAGAACAGATCTACACTTTGAGAAACACTTTGTTTACTGTCTTCTTGTTCTGTTGTCTGCTTAGATGAATTCAGTGCGGTTATGATGTGCACTAATGTGAGCAGAATTCCTGCTTCAGCTCTAGATCTGACTTGCAGTTAAAATTCGTTAAAGGGGAACTCCACTGATGTTTAAAATTGCTGCAAATTATATGGTTGAGATGTAAACAAAATCATTCAGAGGGGTTTGGTGTGAAATGCTCTGTTCTAGAGAAACTTACAAAGTCAGAATTATTCACGGTGGTGGAGACAGGAACCAAAAGTCCGCCTCTAAAAGCTCCCCCACAGAAAGTTATTACATGAAATGTTTATGAATACGCTGCCTGATGTCTAAGACATTGTTTTATGACCACTGTAAAGAAAAACGAGTCTCTACAATGAATCACTCTCAACCACAATGCAGAAATCTGTGGAATTCTCCTTTAATACAGACCCAAATTCTGCACTAAATCTCAAGAAAATTGAAGAAAACTAGTTTTTATATGAGGAGGTTATTTGTGTGTGTGTTTTTGTGTTTGTGTAGACAGTGGGTGAGTTGCTGAGCGCTCTCAGTGAGATGGGCTTTAGTCAGGAGCAGATTCAGGATGCTATACAGGCTGGCTGTTTCACCGTTACAGAGGCAACAGAATGGTAAAGTAAAAGTTTATTATTATTAATATTATTATACTTCATTAACACACTTGTTTAATCACATTTAGCTTTCAGAGTTTGTTATTTTTGCTGCTGATAGTGTCGCTTAGTTGATATTTATGTCCTATCATCAGTGTACTGTAATAAACAGTTGGATGGGGGGCGCTGTTTCCTCATTTACAGAACTGTGACAAACTTCTTTGGAATTTGTATTTCCTGATCAGAGAGGCTGTTTTACAATAAATTCTGAAGTAAAACATGTTAATGGAAGATTAAGATTAAACAGAATTAGAGTTTAGAATTGTGAAAGTGATGGTGATGATGGTAATGTTGAGAATGGTCTTGACTCTTTGCTGTCTCTCTCTTTCTGTTCAGGCTGTTGCAGGGCAGGGGTCCGCGTCACAGATTAACAAAGCAGGCCGAGTCACCCACAAATGCCTTCTCAGCGTTTAACCCACCAAAAAACACCATTGCGAGCCCCTCACATTCACAACAAACAGGTCAAAATTATAATAATAATATCAAACAATCAAATGACAACAATCGCAACACCACTAATAATAATAATTTTTTCATCATGATTAAATTCACTTTGATTAGGTTTGGTACAAATCAGATTTATTATTAAAAATATACTGAATACAGAACTATTTTCACACAGTAATGGAATATAGACAATAAAAACAGTCCTTTAAACTTTTTCTCTTTTTGTTTTTGGACATGTAACAGTTTACGTTTACATGAACTTTATTTTAACCAAAATGTGAGCACATGCTTTATTGAATATTATTCTAAACAATTACAATTGTATGTTACGTGGTTTAATCACCAACTTCACCTCTTTTGGTTTCATACGATAGAGTACAACTTAATAAAGTACATCTGAACATGTCAGTGAACTGTCAGAGCACCACGTGGGGTGCTGTGGCTTTCTGGATAATGGAACTTTTTTTTTCTCTCTCTCTTTTCTTGCTTTGAAGGTCCTAATCTGGTCCTGAATCACCCTTCTCTGAGTCCTGCAGCAGAAACAGAACTGCAGCCATTACAGTCGAGAATGAAGCAAGACCAGAGCAGCTTCCATCTGCAGCAGAGACACAGAGAGGCTCAGGAGGCTCAGCACGAGAGGAGGCAGAAAAAACAGGTAAACAAAAACACAAACACGCTTTAATCAGAATTACACACACAGATCGTCACCTTCACTGCTGGTGTAAAACTCTGCCATTCGTATTTCAATTAAGGGGAGTTAAAAATTATGGTGACATCCTTAATGTGTGAATTTGTATGTGTTAGGCTCTGCTGGATCTGCATTACTTTTCCCCAGTTAGGTTCTGTGATATAATATGGAGGATTGGTCAATTGATTTAGGATAAAATATCTGTGTAATCCCCCCAAATTTCCACAGACGGCTGTTATAATCCAGATGGTCACATCAGCGTTACACCACAGGGCATGCTCAATAACAGTAATAACACACTGTATGATCGTGTTTGTAAGCACGTTTTATTTTTCCATTAACTTGAGGTGGATCAGAACAGGACTGCTGTTCCAGAGAGAGCTCCGAATTCAGCCAATTAGAGAAGAACATTCACCAGATTGCAATAACTCCACAGTTGCAGTACTGTGGGACTGTTAAACCTACACATGCTTTAGATTTATTCTGGATTAAAATCACTCCACAGTTATTACTGTCAAACTGTAAAAACTACACATGCTGCATATTCATACCGGATTAAAATCACTCCACAGCTTTTACTGTCAAACTGTAAAAACTACACATGCTGCATATTCATACCGGATTAAAATCACTCCACAGTTATTACTGTAAGATTGTAAACATTACCACACATTAACACACTGCAGATCTATACTGGATTGAAACCCGTCTAAAACTAATCCAGGACTTTGCCTAACTGTGTTGAGCAATAATCTGGCTCTGAGAAAGCAGCTGTGGATGTTCATTTGGTAAATTTTGTCCAAAGTCAAAGTCAGTGTTTTTGGTGTCCCTCAGGAGCGTGAGTTAATCCTGAAGAGAATTGCAGAGGACCGGCGCTTGCAGCAGGAGAAGGCTCAGGCTTCCACGACCAGTAGCCATGGAAACACAGCAGTGGGGCATCGCCAGAGCAGCGTAGATGATCAGTGCATCCTTATGGTGAGGTATCGAATAACATAGCAGCATCTTTAACGCTTAGTCTCCTTGCGCGTTTGCTTTGAGTTCAGGTATAAAATCACCATCATGAATCTGTTACTTTTTTACATGTTGTTTGAAATCTTCTGTTATGTGTTTTTTGATCTGTAAATCAGAGAACTGCTTTTTAAAATGGAAACATAAACTTTCAGATTCTGTTAAAATGATGAACAGAAGTGATTTTGTTTGGTGATAGTCGGTGTACTCAGTGAGACTGCTGGACGACTGCAGACTTTTTTCTATCTAACTTGATCTTGAAGCAAACAGAGAAACTTGCCCACTTTGACTTTACAACATCACATATATAGCCATATTACGACTGGATTACATTAATATGTGGGTTTGGCATAATTTTAACCTCTTTTACAGCTGCTACTCTGTGATTTTATTTCCATCTGGACCGACCATGTCAGTGTTTTCTCCCTTTTTAGACCAAATTACTTACTATTTCTACTAAGTCAGCGGTCATCTGATAAATTTAATCCCATCCAGATACAAATCTCTCTGATTTCGTGGATTTTCCAAGCAAATGTTATATTGTGTTGGTTTTTTTTGCACTCTGCAGCTTGCTGTATTTAGTGTCCTAGCGTGCATAGCCATGGTAAACATTTTCTGAATCGTGAAACGGTGGATGCCTTGGAAGTATTTCAACCATTAGCTTGATCTGAGTGGTAAAACTTTGTTTTCATTCTCTGTACACTGGGAGAGCATTGCCAGAAGTAGAAGTCTATTAGAGAAGCGAGGTCTCAAAGGCTGATTAAAAGAATGAATTAAGGTGTAACAGTTTAAGTGTACAGTATTCGATTGATGCGCACTCATCATATGATCCTGATACTCAAGACTCATGAAAAGACCAGGTGTAAATGGAGTCTAAATCTTGTTTAAAAGCTTCAAAGAAGACTTTTGGATAACTTTTTTAAAGATTTATCATACTAAGTGAAGAATATGTTACATATGCATGCCATACAACTTTCAGTTGTCTGTGCTTAAAATAGAGCTGAAGTGTAAAAAAGTAAATGCACGCTCCTGTCTGTTTGACGCTAATATAACTGAAGATCTTATAGAAAATTATAATTAGCATCATTTATAGAGTTATAATAGTTAAATAAAGTGAAGGTTATACATTAAACACTGTATTGAAATGCAGTGAAATTGAAATGTGATGGGACCATGTTCATGATAATCTGACGGGATATTAATGATCATGAAATGAGTGGAATATCTCGGGCTTTATTTTATGTTGTTACAGATTTTTTAGTGTTTTCAGCCTGAGCACCATCATTGCTCTTGTGCATCCTTGTTTGTTCATAACAATATAAAATATTATATAAAAAGTTTGTAATTGTTCATGATGGTTAAAAATGGTTAAAATGTTTATTACTGCTGTTAAATCCTATTTTTACTTAAGTGTGTCACAGTTTAGCTTTTCTGATTGTTGGTTGTTTGTTTTCTGTGTAGATTCGTCTGCCCTCCGGTGAATCGATGCGCGAGTGCTTTCCGGCTGATGCTCTGCTCCGCAGTGTTGTTGAACACGTCGCCACTCGTCACCCATCTCTTCCTGCGTTCTCACTGCTGCAAGGTTTTCCCCGTAAGCGTTTCTCTGAGGCAGAGCTGGCATCCTCCCTGCGGTCTCTGGGTTTAACTCCAAACGCAGCTCTGTGTATTCAAACAGCACCCCCTGTCAACGCGCCACAGGATTCCGAGAACCTTCCTGATCCACAGCACAACGAACCTCCACGCCTGCAGGAGGAAGCAGAGTTACAACAGCCTGTATTACCACGCCCATTTCCACACCAACTTTGGGAAGAAGCAGTAGGGCATGCTGGGTTTGGACCTTCAGGACCTTCTCACTACTGGGGTATAAACCACTAAACACTGCAAGCGTCACTGTACATAACACTATAAACATATGTAAGCACAGTCTGTGCTGAGGAAGATTCATATTTTGGTAGAATCCAATACAGATGCACTGAAATTTTAGTCACAAAACATTTTTGGCTAAAAAGAGTCAAAATTGGCTCTTTCTGTTTTCAGTCAAAAGAGAAAAAAGACCAAAAAATATTTGTACGTTCTATAGAAGAAAAAATGTTCTATATGCTCTTTCACTTACATACTTTTAATATTAACTGATAAAATGAATATATTTAATGAAAATTACACAAAGTTTTGCAAGTTGTGACTGTAAACTCTTGTATTGGTTAGATCCTGTTGGCATGGGTTCAGGGCTGTTTTTTGTCTGAATGACAAACACTAAAGCGACTTGTGTGCTAATAGCCTCCCCTGCTGGAGAAACTTCAGCCTGCTAGACAGAAGTTCTAAAGCCATGCCCACTCGCTTTACTTATTAAATAACAAGGTCTTTTCTGTCATTGTGACGGAATTGCTCTGGAACTCAGCTTTGGACGCCTTTGGGAAACCATAAAATGTTACATTTTTTAGAATTTTAAATATTTAATATTGTTTAGCAAGCTGTTTGTTGGTCCTCAGTTAGCCAGTTATCGCCTAAAGCATTGTGAGCTTCATAGCTTCACATTAATTCAAAAGCATAAATAAAACACCAAATTATGTATAAAAGAGCTGTTTCTTTTAGTTTCTGTTTCAGAGTGAGTCCTCAATTTCGGTTTCGGTCAAGAATTTTTATTTCGGTGCATCACTAGAATCCACGTTAATACTGCGAATGTTTCAAGATTTATCGTATGATTAACCAGGTATAACTTATTTTAGGGTTGTTATCTTTTACTTTTTCTCATTATGTGTGTGATGTCATACTCCCTGTTCAAAAAGGTTTTGATGGGATTTGATAGAATTTTCTCTAAAACGTTCTCTTATTGGTCAGGGCGTGGTCAGCGGCTGGTTCCTGGTGAGGCTGATGATGAGCACTCAGATGGCGAGGAGCAGCCTGAAGAACCAGCAGTGCCTCTTTTCAATGGTACTATATTAGAATGACAAATTGAGCCATAGTTTAGACAAGATCAGCAGTATATGTGGTTCTGGGTTAATTTTTTTCTTTTACAGCTGCTGGTCTGTGATTTTATATTCATCTGGATCAGCCATGTTAGTGTTATTGTCTTCTGACTGAATTACCTTCTGTTTTTCACTGAACTCTGATCATTTTAGTCTCGTCCTGGACACACTTCTCTGTAGCTGTCCAGGTAAATGTCATACCTACGTTAAATCCATATTAAAATTGCGAAATGATGAATGCTTTAGAACCATTTTCTTGGCCTGGGTGGTGAAACTTTGTCTCCATTCTCTCTACACTGGGTTAGCATAATCAGGAGGAGACAGAAAATAAACTCATTCATAACATTGATGTCCAGCTGACTAAACGGTAGATTATAATACAGATACTGGTATAAAGCATCTCTTTATATTCAGTGTGATGAATTATTAGTTGTCTATGATCATGTGACCAAATGTGATGCAAACGTGTTCATAGAAAATACAACCACAATAAACTCTCATCATGTGTAAAATGTTATTACAGATGTTCTCCTGATAGTCTAGTCTTAATAGGACTCATTAAGATAAAGCGACCCTTATTAGTCCCACAACGGGGAAATTTCACCTCTGCATTTAACCCATATGTGAAGTGAAACACCACATGCACACTAGTGAATGCACACACACTAGGGGGCAGTGAGCACACTTGCCCGGAGCGGTGGCCAGTCCTATCTGCGCCGCCCCGGGGAGCAGTTGGGGGTTAGGTGCCTTGCTCAAGAGCACTTCAGTCACATACTGTCGGCCGAACCAGCGACCTGTCGATCGAACCAGCGACCTTCCAGTCACAGGGCTGGTTCCCTAACCTCCAGCCAATGACTGCCCCCATTTTTCCTCGCATAGAACTGTTTCTGAGCCAACCGTCTAAACTTCTCTTTATCCTGAATCCCAGCAGTCTTGGGCCAAGGCATCAACATCTGTAAACACCTGTTAATACCTGGTGTAGGTGTGGTGATGTAAAAATGTGGCTTGGCTGAACTGGATGGGTTTCGAAACACTGAGCTCAACTTTTTGTCCAGCTGCATTCTTTTAGACTCTCTTTAGAGTTATTTTATGACTGTGACTGAGAGACTTTAACCAAACTTAGCTTCAGTAAAGTAGGACCTGGTGATGGTTCTGATCCAGTGTTTTGTTAAATGATTGTGAGTCAGATCTCTATTTCAGAAATTCACAGTTCAAACATGGGCAGAGCAGAATTAAAGCCTGTTCATACCAAGTGCGCTTTGCCGTTTGTCCCACTGAATCTGAATCTGAAACTGACTGACTGACTGTGATTCTGTGTAAATTTTTCAATCAGAGCCAGTTGTCATGGTTACAGTCAATCATGTGCATCATGATGGTAGCAGAGCAGTTTGGCTTGGTTGTATCAGAGCACAAAAACTTAACGTATGTGTCTGTGTCTGTGTGTGTGCGCATCCATGTGTAGGAGTTCCTGGGCTGCCGTTTGGAGCTGGAGTCGTTCTGGAGCCGCAGCATCTCTGGCCTGAACAGGGAAACAGACTGAGGTACAAACCTACAACCCAGAACCAGAGCCCCTCCCTCAGGGAGAGATAGCATTCCTTGGTGTAAGAAGCGTGACAGAGAGTGAGTAGGGAGATTAGAGGCTCTGAATGAGAGAATGGAAATAAATGGAGGAAATGCCTGAGTACCCTGAACAAACTGCTGTTTTGTTGATCATAATATAACAAAATGATTCCTGTTTTTTCGCTTTAACGTTTCCTACATCTCCATTCTTTAACAAGCTACGAAGCTTCTAATACAGAAAAAACAAAGGTTTAGTGAGACGAATAACAGCAGATAATGCTGCGACCGTTAAGGATCAATTATGGCACTTTGCCGGCATCTCAAAAACTAGTTTCCTTACATCAGTGAATGGAGTATAACCAACGAAAGATTAAACACTAAGGAAAAGTATGCAATAATCGACTGGTAAATATCTGCATATTATTTTTTTAAATAGTAAAATAACTGAAAATGGTATGATTTATGTAGTTTCTCAGCCCACATAAACACCTTAATGATTGTCTGAACAACTCATAAATCTCCAATAATTAACTTGGGACTAGGTCTAGTCAGCTTAACTGATAGCAATTTCCTTTGTTTTACACCAGAAAAATAAGTTGAAGGAGGGCAAAGTAGCACGCATCTATAACTGGCAAGCCAGCAAACATCCAACCTATGCTCTTTTTACGCTAATTTAATTTTGTTTCACAATCTTCAAGCAATAAAAGGTATGGTGATGTTGCACAACAGCTATTAGCAGACAGTAACCAAAAAAAGGGTTTCTAACAACTGCTATAAATGCTGTTAAGGTTAGGTTGATTGAGTGAGCTGGGTGTCTACAGAGATGTGACCTCCCACTGACCTCACACTCTATATATAACGTTTCACATCTTTTATAAACATCCCAGACAGAATATTATCATGAATCATGTCTTCTCTAATACTCAGATAACTCGTGTTCACTGTTCCAAATGAGCCATTGATGAGATATGTATTAGAGCTGAAGAAGTTTACATTTTGTTCTTCAGTCGTTATTTACAAAACAAAATGTTGCACATTTGTGCTCTTATATTTGTTGTTGCTCTGTTGATGTAAGCCAGATCATAAATACACCAAGAGTTTTAATGAATATGAAAAAAGTGAAACAATATGTATTCTTATGGAATTAGGATATTGTTTAATAGTCTTACTGCATTCATCATATTCATTATCAATCATAGCAGATTTTGCCTCAAAGCCGAATAGCAGCTCTGTAGTTTTACTACAGTAACTATTTGTTATAAACAGTTGAGACAAGTAAAAGTATATTGGCTGTAAAGTGTAGAATTGTCCCAGTAAAGTAAATGTCGGGTCAGTATGACCCATCAACAGTACATTGATTGATGAGTAGCGAACAGAACAGAAGAGTTTAGCATCTACGTGTCTTAACAGCTTCAGTCCTGTCAATTCAGGATTACAGTGGTCTCTCTGATGAGTGAGTGTTCCTGTGTGCTCTAGTCCACTCTTTCGAGCAGAACACAACACTGACTTCCCCACATTCCAGGATGAGACCTGTAGCATGTCTCTATGCTACGGTTTCAACAGACATGGTTAAGAACAGTCTGACTGACCAGCAAAATCACCTTAATCTCAATCGCAGATGGAACAGCACATGCTAAAACAGAAGCACAGGAACTCTAAAATGTGCACCAAGTCAGTGTTAGAGTGCACTAGAGTGGACGAGAACTCTCTCAGACTGACTGCTGTAATCCTGACCTGAAAGGTCAGGAGCTCTCATTAAGTTAAGGTGATGCTTAACCAAGTATTAGAAAAAAGGAGATGCATGAGACTAATTATCATCCATTCCATGTTTTAATATAACAGTAATAATAATAACAATAATAATAATAGACTTCATAGAGCACTTTTTGTATTCATAGCAGCTCAAAATGCTTCATGTTCAAATATTAAAGTTTATACATAAAAGCAGAAACATGCAAGGACAGAAAAATAGAATTAAAAAAGATCAAGAAGACAAAGATAAAATGAGAAATAAATTGAATTACGTAAATATTTTAAATAACAACTAAATTAAGGATTAAAAGGACAAATTTTCAGATGTCTGTTAAAAATGTGAACTAATGTGTCCATCAGTAGTCACTGATTTTCATAGATGTACTTCTCATTTGTTACTTTGATAGATCTCATTGGTTGTCATTGGTTAATCTGAATACTTCTGTCCAGTGACAGGTTCATTTATTTTCTTTTCCTATATCCACTGCTGTACATTAATAGTTAATTCTTTATCCTTTACACTTATTACTCTTATTGTGTTAATGGTTTGCTATCCAATGTTGACCAGAGGAGGATGGGTTCCTCTTTTAAATCTTGATTCTTCTCAGTTGTTCTTCCTCTTTCTCTGAGGGAGTTTTTCATGGTGATATTAATTTGTGGCTCCAACTCGGATTTTCTTAAAGTGGCTTTGTGACCACACGCTTTATAAATAAATTTGAATTGAACTGAATTAGATCAATAGTGAACGATAACAAGTTCCACAGTTTATAAGCAGAAAAACAGAAATATTCTCTCCACTATTTCTGTAATTTATGGAGGGAATCTCTGAAAACACTGTATTATCATGACATGATGAATTGACCAACAGAAGTGATCCAAAAGTACTTAGAATACTTAGAGTGATTGCAGGAAACATTATGTATCCCTCCTGCTTTATGGTGTGTTACAGAAACATTTTTATTATTACTGTAATTTATTTATTGTTGTCATTAGGCTCTCATCATTTGAGCCCAATATGATTTCATATGAATATGATTTCTGTCCTTCTGTCCAGTATGGTCATCATGTATGATATTTGCACAGGCAGACCTTCTGAAACAAAACTCATGAACTCCTGACTGAGTTGATTAACATCAGTGTGAACAAAACAATAACTAATTTTTCTGTGTTGTGACAGATCTGTGAGTGAAACAGATCTGTCACAACACAGAAAATCAGGGAGGGTCTCTGAGCTCACTATGCGTTTTTGTACATGACAAGTGGGATGGTGTCCCCACCACACGGGGGAAGAGAGGGAGGAGAAACACGGTATTATTGGTCAGAGGTGTGGACTCGAGTCACATGATTTGGACGTGAATCAGACTCAAGTCACGAATTTGATGACTTCAAACATGAAATTAAAAAGATTTACAACTCACTCTTGGACTGATGCAGGATGTCTGTGTTGAGACTTGCCTGTTACTTGCAACTCAGTGACTCATTTTCACTTCTGTAATTTGTTGATATTATTTTTGCCCTGCCCACTGGTGCACAGTGGAGTCATGATAGGATATGATGTGATGAATTGTGCTTAATATGACCCAAGAGCACAAACTAATGAGGTAAAAAAGGTTAGAAATGCGTTGATCTTTCATGAGGTTTGGATATGGGAAGTTAATATGGTGAGAAGATGCTGGATGTGATACTGGAAGGTTAATAAAAGAATGACTGAGATCTGATCCTGTAACAGATTTGTCCTGAAACAGCTCTCACTCACACTGCATGTTGTGATGTAGTTGGCTGTGTTGTCCTTTCTGTGGGGTTAGTAGTGACTGAGTAGCTGTAACATCACAGACTATGTTTACATTATCCTCATCATCCTCATGTGCTTCAGTAAAACACATTTTAAAGCACAGTAGTAGTTAAAGAAGTAAGTTTAGATCAGTATCTGTATCAACACTGTTTCAGTATTGGAAAATAAAAGCGATGTTATGCCATCTCTAGTTTATATGGATCATCATAATTGTTAAAAAAAATCCTGTAAAATTGTGACTGTTGATTGAAGTCTTTGTGTCTTCTTTGCACACTGTAGGTGGGACAACAAACAACAGTCCTGTAAAATTCTGACCAGTTGTATAAATTTACTGATTGTCTTTCTGTTTGTGTTTGTGTATGCATATAGAGAGCCAGGTCCTGCTGACCCTGCTGATCCGGGGGCAGGGCGGATGTTGCCGGGTAATGCAGCAGTTCAGCGGCTGCAGAGAGCAGCTCAACATGAAGAACCATCACCACCAAAAAAACCCTTCAGACCCCCCAGCGTCCCCTCGCTGTGTTCTCTCGCCACCAGAGCCAGTGTCTCACTCATTACAGGTCAGAGAGAATTATGATCATAATATTATTACATACACATATTGTACTATTAAAGGGTTTAATCAGTCATGTTTTTACAAATAAATGGGAACAAATACTGTTTATTATAATTCTATTATTTAAAAAAAAATGCAAATGAAAAATGTAATTTTAACTTGTGCTAAAACTGATGTTTAACTCTTCTTGTTTGTGAGGTGAATTATCTATTTTATAAGCTTTTATAATTTTGTAAGCTTTTTATAAGTTTTTCGCAGACATCTTTATCAGAACCCAAATGAGTTTATTCAAACTAGTTCGCGTGAGTTTAACTGAACAAGTTTACAAGAGTTTACCTGAAAAAGTTTACCCAAGCAAGCGTGTCTGAACAGGTTTACCTGATGAGCTTGTTTAGGAGTTTAGATGTGATGAGTAACATCTGCGAGCAGCTCTTGACTTTAAAGGAGTAAACAAATAGTCACCCATCGCTCACTGACATAAAACTCTCTTTCTTTCTCAATATCACTCTCTCTGTCTCTTTCTTTCTTTGTTTCTTTGTTTGTCCTCTCTTACTTGCTGTCTCTCACTCTCTCTCTTTTTTCTCTCTCTGTCATTCTGTCTCTTTCTCTTCTCTCGCTTTGTCTCTCTCTCTCTCTCCTTTCTCTCGCTCAGCTCCCTGTATGCAGTACAGTAGCAGTCTGTCTGGTTTGACCCCAGAGTCAGCGGAACTCCTGTTGGGTCACATGACCTCTGGGCGCATCCTGAGGCCGCGGACACTTGAGCTGTTTTTCGGCTGCCCACTGCAGAGCTTTATTCTGAACAGCTACCCATACACCACCAACGAGTTACTACGGCAACTCAGAGCCTTCACTGCACTGAAGCACCTCAGCCTGGTCAACTCTCCGCTCATTACCGGTGCGTACGTGTGTGTGCGTGCATGCATTTATTTTTTTTTATTAAAATTTTAAACTGTTCTGTCAGTGAGTTTGAGTTTGATTTGATTTTGGAATGTGTAGCATATGTTCCTGTTCTGTCCGGTAGATGCTGGACTCTCTGTTTTGTCCGGACTGTTGAAACTGCAGCACTTAAACCTTTCGTCCTGCAATAAACTGACCGACTCCTGTCTGCAGCACATCACCAGTGAGTTTATTCATTCACTCTTCACCTGTAACTGTGGCTGTGCAGTAAAAACACAGCAGTCTTGGTACTGCATATTACCATAAAAGATATCAAGCAACACAAAATTTTGATCTTTAAATTCTGTTTTGTGTTCAGAGTTGCAGTGTCTGACCTTTCTGGCCCTGGATAAGACCAAAGTAAGTGATGCTGGATTACTGACGTATCTGAAGTCTGCTCCCTCTGTGCTCATTCATCTCAGTCTGAATGAAACAGGTATTACTGAGACCACACTGACTGCCCTGCCCCAGTGTGTACCGCAACTTCGTCTGCTCAGCATTGCCCGCACAAAGGTACCGCACACACAACCGCCCACACATAACTACCTACACACAGTTACCTACACACAACCCCACACACACATCCATGTACATACAAACAGCACAAACAACCGCACACACACACAACCCCTTACGCAACTGCGCACCCACACAACCCCATACACACATCTATATAGACAAGAACCACACAAATAACTGCACACAACCTCACACACATACAACCCCACATACCAAACCAACAGTTTTGGCTTTGTATGTCATATATGTGGATAATGATGACACAAACAAATATTTACACAGTAATTTGAGCAAGGTTATATTTAGTGTTATTTTTGAATTTATTTATTTATTTATTTAACACTAATAAACAGCTGGACATAAATTGAATGACCTCTTGAGACCTCTGATAACATGAGAAATTTCTGGATTTCAAATACAGTGTTTGTTGGTTTTTTTCTGATTTTTATTTTTAATTTTAATTCTACTGGTGGGAAAAACATTTTCTTTCAAAATTAAGAGTTTGAGTCCCTAAAAAGAAAAAAACAAATGTTTGAGACTAAATAATGTTTTTTAAAGTAACCCTAAAGTCATAATCTAAACCACCAAAAATGAATCAGTGTTGAATAGCTGTAGGGTAAATACTCACTATAAAGTACTGTATGGAGACCTGTTGGTCAGACTGGGTTGTTGCAGATGGACAGCGTGCTCTCCGAATAAAGACCTCACTCCTGCAAACCCTGCTCTCCTGAACTCTCTTCACTGGTGCAGAAAAAGATTTACAGCATTACTGGAAACTCCGTTTACAGTGGAAAAAGTGAATTCTGTGCTATAACACATTTGTTAGGATTTTTAGTCTATATAATCATATATAATCAACACCCTCCAAGTGGAGTTAACCATTAAAAAACACTTTTTAAGTAAGGGAGTTAGTGTATCAAATTAAATAATGTAACTTTGTTTGTTTGTTTTTGTCACCTCAGGTGAGTGACGTATCAGCATTGGCTGAACTGCGTTGCTTGCAGACTCTTCATCTGGATGGTACAAGTGTAAATGAAGACTCCCTTCAGGCTCTTAAAGCCCATCCCAGCTTGTCCACACTCAGCCTTGCCTGTATTCCCGTCGCTAATGGCAACCATGCGCTGGAGATCATTTCTGGTGAGTTTCTGTGTTGTATGATGTCTCAGTTTGGGTGGCAATACAGACAAAAAGTTCTGCTGAAGATATTTATCTACTGCTTGAGGATGAGCATGATTAATCAAATATACAAATATCTGATCTCATCTTAACATTCATTTACCAATATCAGTTATTTGAAAGCGTCATGTGTAAATTGAAATATAAACGTGAAATATATGATGTAGTGTATAAATAATTGGTAGTGTGTGTTTGTATAGCTGCATAAAATGTGGTGAAAAATAATCAGCTGATATTTGTGAATCCAAATGAACACGTCCAATCAGAGCCCTTCATAGAAACATTTCAAACTATAAGATGGTACATCTATACAGTATAAAGTTTTACCATGTAAAAGATTAGCTCTTACGCTAGCTAGATGCAGTATTTCTTTGTTCATTGCAGTGTATAATGTTTCACACTGGGATATACAAATGCTGTTTATTTAACAATTAGGATATCTAATCAAAAATATTTAAAATACTCATCGCTCTGTCCAAGGTGGTTGGCTCATGTGCCGCATGCAGATAGCTACCAGCACAGACCTGCCAGTGTAGAGTTTCTTATGTTTTTACACTTATGACTTGAACTGAAAGAATAGCTATATGAGTCTCACACAGGAATTTTAGCATTGGTCACATGCACTTGTTATATTCTGCATCTCTCTCTGCTATAGCTTTGAGACTGACCCACCTGACGCTGCCTGGCCGTCACTCGCTGACTGACGCTGGGTTGCTTCACCTCTCCAGACAGATTCTACTCTCTGAGGTGGACCTGACCGACTACACACAGATCACTGACCAGGGCATTACACAGCTCTCCACCATGAACAGGTACAAATCACCTAACGCATGAGGACCATGCATTAATCAAAACAAACAGGGTCACTGTGGGTTTACTCTGGTTAACTGTGAGTGTATTTAGGCATACTATGAGTGTATTCAGGTCTGCTCACATTTACTATTAGATTACTCAGGTTTCCTGTGATTTTTCTCAGGTTTACTATGAGTCTATTCAGACTTACTGTAAGTTTATTCAGATTTACTGTGAATTTATTCAGGTTTACAGTTACTCTCTGTAATAACGTGATCTTTTATGGTCAGAAAGTCTTATATATCTTTTACGTAAACAGATAAATTAATAAAGGTAAAGTACTTACCAGTTGTTATTTCTTCAACAGGCTCAAGAAGCTGTCTCTCAGTAACACTCAGGTAAGTGATGCAGGACTGGTTGCCTTGGTAACTCTGAAGGAGCTGGTGGAGCTGTGTCTGGACCGAACAGCGGTAAGCAGCCGGGGTGTTGCTGCTCTCATCACACACCTGCCTTATCTACAGGTACTCAAACGTTGCTCTCCTGCATGTGATATTTAACTGAATGTTAGCTGCATAAACTGTGAAATGTGAAAAGTGTCATATTTTCAGTCACTGCGAGTTTGACTTGTGTGTAATTATAGGTGATCGGTTTGGCCTGTACACGTGTGGGCGATACAGTGGTCAGACGTGGTTTAGTTCACTGCCCTCAGCTCCTCAAACTCAACCTCAGCAGGACACGAATCACTGACCATGGTACGTCTACACACATACGTCTGGCTGTCTTAAATTTCAGAAATAACCCAAAACATCCAAATCCCAAACCTGACACCCTCATTCAAAGTAGTCAAATATGAAAAGAATTTATTGGCTGGGCTACATGCCACCCATCACTGATTTAATTTTATCTGCACTCTCATTGCTGTGTGTGATCGCCCCCTACTGGGTACATTAAATGGCACTAACAGGCTTACAATTATGGAAGTTCAAAGATTTAAAAATTTAACCTGATTTCTTTCTGTTTTGCAGGGGTAAAGTTCCTTTACTCAATGAGGTTGAACCAGGTGAATCTGGATGGTACAGGTGTGACTGTGGAGGGTGTGGCCAATCTGATCTCTGCCTGTCCTCAACTGACCAGTGTCCGAGCAAGTAACACCCGCAGCATCCCCCCCGATCAGCAGTCCGATGATGATGAGGATCACCTGCTGCCCTAAGGGGAAAAAATGGCCGCTTTATATGGAAGACATAAAACGATAAACATTATCTTTTCTTTTTATATTGTGTTTTACAGTGAGCACAGTTTGTATCATAAACTGGATTTAAACTGCGGTGCTGGAAATTTTATATCTCAGTGAATACTTCTGTATAGGAAGTTCCTCAAATAACGGCCTTGAAAATGTGTTTATCGATCAACTGTCAGTTCCTTAGAATCACTGCTTCTTCATAACTTGCAAATCCAAACAACAGATTGTTCAAAGGAAAAAAATAGAAGCAGCAAATTTGGACAATTACAAGCAGTTTTGCTTTATTTTTGCTCATGAAATATTTACCTGCAATTTTGGTAATACGCATTTCGTATAGATATTTAGTAGTAGCTCTAATTGAATAAATGTTTTAAACATTTAAAAAATGATCTTACTGCTTAAGATCTTAGATCCTACAGACTAGGCAGTTGCAAAGATTACAATGTTTGTAATGCTAGTTTGGAATGCTATGCAACGCTACATAGATTTTTCTTCTTAAGACAATTATTTGTACAATTCTAAGTAAGTCATGCAATATTTTTGATTATCCAGTCTTGTAATGTAAGCAGTAATATATTTAAGTCCCTATTAAGCTTGAAAGTATAAAACTGTAAATTGCTACAGTCCATTAAAAAAAATCTCATTGTAAAAATTATTTAGCATTTGACAATACTGTATTTTGTAAATGATTTTGCTATTAAAATATACAAACATTAAACCTTACATTTTTAAACTTTTTTATTTTAGTGTTCACTAATTAATTAAGAAAGTCCAGTCACTAGCTCTGCACAAACTTATCTTACTTATGCAGAGCCACGCTTCGGACTCTACCTCTTGTGCCTGGTCATGTTTTTAGCCCAGCTGTTAAGGAGACTCTAGCTTTACTTTTGTCCTTAACAGAGTCACGCAAACTAGAGAATGCAAAGCCATTTTGTTTTCATGCTTGCTGTTTGTTGTCTGGCAGCACAGAGTGGTGCAAGACAGATGGACTGGGAAAAATGCCTGGCAGCATATCAACTTTCTTATGCTGTGGGTGCTCTGGCTAGCACCAATATTTTCTCCCAGCCCTGCAAGGGAGACACGTTCTTGTCTGCTCAGACAACTTCTATGCAGTTTATTACGTGAACCACTGTGCTGGCACCAGGTCATGGGGTGGTGCTGAACTTTGCACAGCAACTGTGGACATGGGCTTACCCCAGCTTACTCTTCTTGGGAGAAGAACACCTAATGAGTATGACCAACGAGACGGCGGATGCCCTCTCACACCGCACTTTGAGCTCCAGCAACTGGAGATTGTGTCTGGATATGGTCAGGTTGATTTTTGCAGCTGTTCAGAGAGGCATGGGCGGACCTGTACACTTTGTCGGACAGGACCCACTTCCAACTGTGGTTGTCGGAGCAAGTCCAGGACACCCCATTAGATTGGGCTGCTGGGACTTTTGAACTTCTGGATCAGTCTGCTCTTAAGTGAGTTACTTTAAAACCTGCACAGGCTTTCCGCAGCTGACCCTGTCTGTGAGTTATGCGCTTTCATTACCCCACTGTGTCTCCAGTGGAGCCTGGACAAAGCTATGTCCTGCTGAGGCCTAACCCGGCCTTCTTACCCAAAGTTCTTAACCCAGGGTTCTTTAATCGTTCCATCTGCATAGTTTTCATGGATGTCACTCCTACAGATGGGCTTGCAGAACAGATCAGGTGTTTGTATGCTACTTTGAGGCGAGATGGGGTTTGCTGCTCTCTAGACGTAACGGCTCTCCCAGTGGATGTGATCAAGCTGCCGTATGTGGGGCTGCTGGCCATTCCCTGCTACACCTTTGATACACTCCACTAGAGGCATAGCAGCCTCTGGAGTAACCCTGAGAGATGACCTTCCTCTGGATATCTCTGAAGCAGCTACATGGTTGTCACTGCAAGTTCTCCCACTTACAACTTCAACATTCAACAGTTACAACTTCAACACTGCCACGTCAATGTATTACTAACAGTCCGTAACCGAAAAAAAGTTGAAATTTTACATCAATTTTAAAAAGTTAAATTAAGTACTTACACCTAGTAACATTGCATTCATGTTGAGCCAGGGTGCACATTTGAATCATGTAAAATGAAAGCAAACTTTGTTTTCACTCCCTGTAACATTGTATGTCATCCACTCAGTTGAGAACCACCCTCACAGTCAGAAGGTACAAAACACTAGTCACATATGTACCTGTGGTTGTGTGAGTAGCTGCCAGGGTTCCAGGTCATTCAGAGTTCCAGGTCCCAGAAGAAGCTGATCATTTGGTATACTTTCTTGGTCTGCAGCTAGAAACCTATCCACTCTGTAAGAACGGTCCTGGCTTTTGTTCACTACTAACTTATCCACAATTACACACATAACTAGCGTTAACTTACATACATACATACATCATCTAAACCGCTTATCCTTCTGGGTCGCGGTGGGGTGCTGGAGCCTATCCCAGCTGTCATTGGGCAGAAGGCAGGATACACCCTGGACAGGTCGCCAGTCTATCGCAGGGCAGACAGACAGACATACACATTCACTCACTCACACCTAGGGGCAATTTAGCATGTCCAATCAGCCTGACTGCATGTTTTTGGACTGTGGGAGGAAACCGGAGTACCCGGAGAAAACCCACACAGACACGGGGAGAACAGGCAAACTCCACACAGAAATGACCCTGGTCACCCGACTGGGAATCGAACCCAGGCCATTCTCGCTGTGAGGCAACAGCGCTACCCACTGCGCCACCGTGCCGCCTAGCGTTAACTTATCTGTATAAATTTGAATTATGACCTTTTTTGTCTGTATCGGCTATAGTAGACTAAGTTAAGAGAAGCTAGCCAGCAAGTTAACTAATCAAGCAGTTTAGCCACAGCTACTGGTTTTCTTATTTACTGAATTAGTACAATCTGAAAATAAAAGAGTTAAGTATCTGTTCTTTTAACTCAGGAAAGTAAGGTTTGGGGTTTAACTTATGGTAATGTCACTGTTGTAAAACAGTTTGTAAGGTTAGTGATTTCCATGTTTGTAAATATGGAGATTTATTGGCTTTTAATTAAATTGAATAGAAGAGGTGGGAGGAGAAAGAATGATGGTCTTTAAGAGTTTTTAAATCACTGGCATTTTCTTCCAGTTGATTTGAGTTGGACAGGATTAAATTTGGTAAAGAAATTTGCTAAAATAATGTCATAAAAGTACATTTTGTATATTCAGAAACACTGAGGGTGACTGCAGAGACACAGTGGCAGCGCACACAGAGAGAGACAACAGCAATATACACATACAGCAGCAAAGAAAGGATATTTCTAATGGTTATACCACAGTAAATACATATTAAGACATTAATAGGTTAGAGCCTCTTCTTTTTTTATACTGCTTTCCCCCTTAAATTATGTAGCACGGTATCTTTATCATGTTGTTGTACCGCTTTTCTTATATACATAGTACAATAAATTTTCCCATCGTATTAAATTCTCAGACTGAAGTACTACTATAGATCTATACTATGACATTAACCAGCTCTGGTGCTTATTTCTTGATACTTCTTCATGATATAGATGTGGCTCTTAAAATACTGAAGTTTGAAGAGAACTCTCAAAATGAAAAGCTTCTCTCTGTGTGCAGAAAAGGCTATTTCCAAAGAGCCTACGATGTTAACATTCAGCAATCAAGATATTAAGATAGGAGTGGGCGATATGGCAAAAAAGACATTTTAACAATACATGTGATAAGCCTCAAGATATTTAGTTTTATGAGATGTAATAAGTTGGAATGGACAAAATAGAACCTGTAGTGCCACATAAAAAATACAATGGCAATAATAATAAACCTACAACTACACTGATTTTATTCAAGGTTCTACAAACTGCACTGCACTATATTCAACTAAACAGGCCTAATTATGCCCAAATTGGAATAAAACATGTCAATCGTTTTTCTTTCAGTTCTGACGATATCCACGATATGCTCAGGGAATTGTAAAATACAGTAATATTGTCCACCCCTATATTAAGATGTCAGAGTTAATTGTTCTGCAAAACAGTTTTGCTGAAATTTTGATCAATATCTCAAAACCTATTTTCACTTAAGAAACCATACCATTTGACCGATGGTTTTCTTTTGCATATGACTGTACATATTTGTAAAGATGATGACCTATGACAAAGGGTACCTCAGTCATGGAATCGCCTAAATATACCTGTGTTTAGGTAAAAGTATTACAATTTGAAAATATCAAAATTTTATTTGAACACATAAAACTGAATACATGCAAGTAGAGGAACTATGGAACTGGCCCACCTCTATAAAGAACAGGTCATGATGGTAACTGTGGTAATAAACCCAAGTCCTGCTGAATCGTACACTTCATTCATTCCGTTCCTATTTATCATACTGTAAAGGACACAGTAATTTTGCTTTCCTGCTTTATGAGCTCGTGAGTCAGCAACCAGCTACCGCGGTCTTTCCCGCAGCCTGCTTACACATACAGGACCCACCAGCGCGTTTTAACTTCATCACGTTTCTCAGCTCCCTCACTTGCTCAGCAAGCCGAAGTGGGTTAGTGTTTCTTCTGTGGGGTCTTCGGCGTTACTCGTAGTCTGTGTCATTTACTGGCATGCGCCGCTCGGAATGTTAAAATGTGGTGAAGGCCTTTTAGCTGGGCGCGCCCACGCTCACTCCGGGCTCGCAGGAACGCGCTTGCGTTTCTCTTCCCACGCGCAGCCCTTGTTGTGTTTTTTACCCTACCCGTACTCCGGCAGACTCCGCCCCTTCGCGATACGATTGGCTAATCGGTCCTGTTCGCCAGCGGTCTGCAAGTTCTCTGAGACGTTGTACATTTGTTCATACATTTTATTTATTAATTTTAGGCGTTATTTTTGCACCCGTATTTAGACGAGCAGTCTGTAGTATTTTTTGTGAAAAAAAAGAAAATATAAAATAAAATGTAGGCTATGCGAAGTTGCGGGCCTCACAAGTCGCCTGTTTTTCCGACGTTTAGTCCTTTAAAGAAATCGAAGCAGAAACACAAACACACACGTGTGAATACAGACTACTGGCCAATCCCAGCGCAGAAGGCGGGGTCTGCCGGAAAACGGGCGGGAAGGAAACCTTAGGGTAATACCTGCAATTGGAAACCTACACACGGCCCCATATCGGGGAATCCTCATGGGCGTTGGCGGTAGAAACTCCGCTGTACGGTAACATGTCTTAACATGTAACATGTCTTAACCTTCTCCCCCAGTATTCCCTCTGTATTTAAGGCAACACTGCGGCCGATGCAGACCACCAGAACTCTCCAGGCAGGGTACTGAACACTTAGGCCCCCAAACCGGTGAGATTTGAGTTTTTATTCAAACCGTAAAGTTGTTTTTTGTACATTATAAACAGCGTAATGGAATACTGTAGGCTGAATGCAAGGCTCTGGAATTCTTAAACTCCTAATCAGACCTGTGTAAAAGTAACCTTTAAAATAGATATATGGCAATTCTATAAGATTTCTACAGTAAGATTTCTATGAAATACGTAATCTGTAATATTTTCATTTTTGTATAATGTTGCTGTAATACTGCTTAGAATACTTGTGCAGTATCATGTAGTAACTGTAGTTACTGTCTGAATGTACTGTAAAATTCTTATCATCCTTGAAAGAATGGTTCTTCAAAGGTTTTATGTTAAAGGCAATGTTTATCTACAGAGCCATGAACAACCAAATAAACATTTGAATTCTTAAATGGTTTTATAGCATGGCCTCTATGATGGCTCTTTGAGAAGCTTTAAAAAAATAGTTACATATAGCACCAAAATGGGTTCCACTTAAGTTTTTTTTTGGTACTATATCAAACCATTTTTGCTAAGAGTGTAGGAATGATGTAGAAATGTAGTATTATGTAGTATCATACATATACAATGTATACATGTATATATACATATATACTGTAATATACCAATATGCCACTAATATTATAATAGTTTCCAGAAGTAGCCTAAATGTTTAAAGCATACTTGTTTGAGAAAGAGAAAGAAACTGTTTGCACTGGTTAGCCTACACTCATCTGAATGAGAAAAAAGAGCATGAAAGGGACTTTCTAACAGTGTGTTTGTGGGTGTATGGTTGTGAGAATGTTGACTGAAGACTGCTGCTGATCTATTTCACAGAAACAGCAACCTTCAGTAGTGCTGTCTACCACAGAAGAGCAGAGTGGAGTAGAGAGAGGAGAGCCATGGATGGACAGCATTCGGACAGGTAGTTTGTACATCCACACCTCACCCTACATGGAAAAGAATACACTGAAAAGAGTATTCTTATTCAATACAGTACATATGTAGGCTCTATATATCATTGTTGTTGGAAACAAAAGCAGTTTTAAATTGTTTTTCTACATAATTTAAGGGGCGAGCTGCCTATCACATTGTGTCTTACATGATACAGGAATAGGACACATTAATGTATCTTTACAGTAATAATTTGCTCTTTTTTAAAATGTCCTTTGTAGATGTGATAGTAAAGAGCTTGACATTCATCCAGGGTTTTGGATTAAAATGGGCTATCCTACCCACAATCCATCAGACCATGACACAACACACACACCTGATTCACAGGTGAGGAAATAATGAGCGCTGAGTTTGTATATGTGTGTGTATGTGTGTATGTGTGTGTGGGTAATTTTTTGCGTGTGCATTACTGGAAATTCAAAGCAGCATCTCTTCATCTTCAGGGCACTGAAACAGTGCTGATATGACTGTTCCTTCATTCTTATTTGACTGATAAGATTTCAGTGTGAGACGTGACGCGTGTTTTACAGGTGTCAGAAGTAAGCATGCTCAGTTTACACATCAAGCTTTTGAACCTGAGGAGGGAAAAAAAAGAGGTCAGTATTGTCAGATTCAAATACACATATCAACAAAACATGTAATTTGAATTAAATTGGGGTGTTCATCTAAAATAAAAAACTTCTTAACTTCTTAACGTCTAATGTATGTAGCAATATTTTGATATGTCATTTTGGTCATGAAATGTAAATGTAAAGGACAGCTGGCATTTACAAAATAAAAGACCCTCCACACTGTGTAAAAATAGATGTAGACATTGGCGTAATTTACAGAGGGGACATGTCCACACTTCTTTTTGAAAGTGTATTCTGTTGAAAATATTTGATATAATAGCTCGCAGCAGAAACCGGTCCCACCATTTACTAAAAACATTACAAAGATCATGCGGTAAAGTGTCTTTGGTCATTACTTACTATTAAATTGACACGACAAAACTGACATGTACAACAGGGTTATTACTGAGGTCCCCACAATTCTCAAAGCAACTTTACACACATTAGTGTAGATTTGCAGAAGTTAGTCTAACATTAGTTTAGCTTGAGAGCAGTCGTTCAGGTTCAAACGTACCCAATTTTAAGCTAAACCTTTATCACAGTAACCAAAACATTGGATTGCCCTTTCAGTTATAAAAAATGAAAAAGCACTTTACAAAGCCTGGACCATTTAGTTGTTACTCGTTGTTAGGTAATTTACACAGACTTTGTAGAATAGCCCAGTTCCTCTTTGTTTTGTTGTACAAAGTCAGGACATTTTATGAGCTGATACATATGTAAACATAACTGAAGGGGAATGTTTTTATAACTGGCTTGTATTCTTGCTATCATCAGCTACTCTACATAAATAAGAAATGGGCCGAACAGTACAGTAGCCTGAAACAGCATTTTGAACACCAGGTAAGGACTTTCTCATCTCAGACACAGAAGATAACACCTTATAAACTACAAACTAACTTTACTTCTCAGCCCTTTTCACATTTGAGCACTTCTCACTTTAGAGACAAATGTAAAACATGGTGTGTAATTAGCAAACTATTTTTCTTCAGATCACCGAACTGAACAGAAGGTTGAAAAGCTATGAGCAGAGGAAAGAAGAGAAAGAGAAAAGGATGGAGGACTTCTCTTCCCTTACAGATAACACTAAAGAGAGCGCACAGGTAAAAATACTGATCTGATTTAGAATTATTTGCACTTCAAACAGAAAATGTGAATCTATTTTTAAAAAGTGAATCAGTAGTAAGTTATCTTAGAATCAAAACCTTCTGAGTGAACACAATCAAGTTGACAGCTCTCGATGACGCTAACCCATAGAACAGTGTGCACAGGAATAACCCTGATTACATTACGCGGAATATGACTCAGCACATTACCATTTTCATTTCTTTGAACAGAGTGGTGCAAATGTCAGATTGATCCTGACATGTAAGGTTTTGAAATGTAAGACTTTAACTAATTTGTTGTATATGCATGAGCAAATACTTGTATAATTACATGTACAAATATCAAGGCTTACATGATTACATGTATAAATATCAATGCCCTCACTTGAAAATATTACAGAATGAATATTATATAAAGGAATTATATATTTTTGATATGTTACTTTCTGCATGTATAGATATAATGTATCAGTTCAGCTTCTATATAAACAAAGTCCTACTGTAGCTCATCAGACAGTTTGTTGGACACTGAACAGGTGCTATCAGAAACACAAGTAAGGGCTTTGTGTGGTGTGGAGCAATTTGGTAGTTTCCACTGATGTATTTAACCCAGTTAGTCACTCAAAAATATGAATACTAGACGGTCCAAAAGGTCTGGACAAGTGTAAACTAGGCTACATCTTGTCCAGCCAGTTCTCCTACCCCTTTAATGACACACATACCACTTATCTATGAAAGGAAACCTCCTTGTCATACTTGTAGTGGAATAGAGTAGCAGGAAAATAGCTGTTGTGATGTTTTTGACAGGAGACTGAGCTGAAGTCTCGCCTTCAGAAGGCAGACAGAGAGATAAAGGGGCTGAAGAGACAGTGTGACACTCTGACCAGCAGAGGGCAGCAGCAAGTGGAGGAAATCGGGAGACTGAACAAGGTACAAATAATAATTTTGATTTTAGTAAAGCACAAAATAGAACCTACAAACGTCATCACTTCTTTTGAAACATTTGATTTTCACAGTTACTTTTCAATTAAAAAAAATGTAAGTTGTTTTAAATGGACTTGAAAAGCTTTCTGCACACAAACTTTTTTATTCTGAATTATTGTGTAATTTAGTTAATTTATTTGGAATTATTGTATTTGATTTCTAAAGTGGGAAAAAAAAAAACTAATCCTAGTTTGAGTTTATAATTTTTTTAAATTCTTTTTATGTGTCATTTAAAAGTACAAAATGACACATAAAAAGAAGAAAAAACATATAAAATGATCCAGAAACTTTACACAGGTATAATGTGGTATTACAAGTAAGTGCAACTGTTTTTCTAAAGTAGTTGTGTGTGTTTAGGTCCTGCAGAGGGCACAGAACAGCTTGGCAGTGCAGCAGGAGAGCCAACAGACAGAGGAGAACATCTGGAAACATCAGGTACTGAATCAAAACTCATTATATGCTGAGATACTATACACTTTTTCAGTTTATTAGATATCTACATTGTGCCAACACTCACTGAACGTTTTATCAGGTCCATCTACCATATAGGTGTAAATTAGCTTTGCTGAATAAGTCTCTTCTCATACACTACATGACTAAAAGTGACCAAAAGGATACCTGGTCACAGCCTCAGACACTCTGCCCATAGACGTACAAACTGTTTGATATCTACTGCACCCAAAATTGGCCACAACTACTGGAAGTTTGCAGGTTGCATTCTGATTAGCCAGCTGCACATCTGTGTGTATAAACCACCTATGCAGTGGTTTTAATCCGTCAAAGGGGAACCATTACCTGCTCTGTGTGCAGTTATGAGTTGTTTAGAGTAAGATATAGTAGCTGGATTGGAAAACGTGATTAAAGTTCATGCCATCCCATGTTTAAAAGATAATCATCAGTTTTCTTTAAATCTTTTCAAAGCTAGTAAAGGAGAGATCCTCACATGTTTGTCAACGCATACCACTTAGTTTTTTGCTGTAGCACTGTTTTGAAAACCAGTGTGATATGTGGTTGGTTATTTAGTCTCCTTCTCATCAAATTAGGTGTATCCTGGCCATGTTAGGAGAAAAAAAGCACTAAGTTCTCTGATGATAGGCAAATGTCAGCCAATGTGTCATGTGTCAGCCAATGTGCTTTCAAAACAATGGCCATTAAAAAAATGAAAATAAAATCTGGATTTGCATCCAAAAGTATTACTGTCCCAAGAGCATTACTAAGATCAGGCATTTAGGAACTCAATAGTTAGTGTTGCAACCGAAGACTGATGATTTTTACATGCTGTGTGCTTCAGCACTGGTCAGCAGTGGTCCTGCTCTGTGAGCTTTGTGTTGCTGCTAGACATTTCCTTTACCCAATAATAGCAATTACAGTTGACTGGGGCAGCTGTAGCAGCTCAAAAATGTGACAAATTGACTTGTTGAAAAGTGGCATCCTATAACAGTGTCACGTTGTCACAGAGCTCTTTAGTACGATTCTACTGTCAGTGTTTGTCATTGCAGATTGCATGGCTGTATGATTGGTTTTATGCACCTGTTAGCAGTGGCTGTGGCTGAAAAAGCCAAACCCAATAATTAGAAAGAGTGTCCACATTCTTTGACCATGTAATGTATTTTCTTCACTCAGTACCTTCTTTTCTTTACCTTTTCCCCATGTTTAGTGTTAAAGCTGACCACTACAGAAACTGTGTGTTGTTCACAGGCACTAGTGTATAAAGAGGACTTCTTAAAAGAGAGGAAAGACAGGGACAAGTTAAAAGAGAAGTATGCAGAGCTGGAGAAGAAATACAAGAAAATCCATGCAGACTTACATATGTACAAAGCACAGGTGAGCTTCCCTGGCATCTCCATTTTTGCACAATTCGCCAGAAGGCAAGACGTATAGTCAAGTTAAAGAGTGAATGAATGAGTGAGCAAATGATTGATTGAGAAATAATGATACAATATAATCTTTATAATTCTTGATCTTTCTAGGTACGGTGGGATACATCAACCTATACAGGCCCCTCACCACACACGTGACCCATGTGACCCTTTATCTGAGTCACATTCAGCTACACCACAAAAAGGGCACTTTATTCATGGATTGCCCTAAGCTGTGGCTATTTTCTCTACATCTACACATAGAAATGTGCAAATGTGTTTCCAGCCTTATGTTAGTGTATATAGCTTGTACTATTATTTAAGCCCATAAATAAAATAATAAAGGTAGATTAAATTATATAAAGTCAATAAAGTTATGTCCACCATTACTGATTGTGTATTTAGGCCCATGTTGACCAGACTTTCCAACAGGGTCATAAAGATTCTGTGATTCAGTGAACACAAATGTATTTTCAAGAAGGTTGTTCACACTGACCCTACTGAATACAATTAACAACTAATGCTGTGGTGCTGATTTGTGTTGGGTAACTTTATTTGAGATTAAATTATTGAGTTTTTAAAACTTTTTACATCTTAATTTGGGCCCTGAACACAAAAGTGGTAAAAACATTAGCTAGTATGAAACATTTCATTAATTATGCTAAGAATTGGTCCAAGATAAGTTTTACATGGCTGTAGTCAAACTACTCATAAAAGCCTGCTTAGACACACAATCTAATGTTCTAGGCTTGATTATATGATATGCTTTGTAAACTATATTAACTCCAGCCTTATTGCTTGGAGTCTGAAGCGGCTAAGAGAATTTCAGCCAACTAATGATGTTACTAACATTGATTTATTTTTCTGCTTTTTATTTGTTTGTTACTTTTTGTTTATTTATTTTCATTTTTTTCGGTTGTTGCTTTTTTGCTGCTCTTTACCCACTGACACGGCGCGACGTCTGAGTAGTAAATGTATTTTCACCTAATTCTAAAAGATAAAGTCATGACATAAGCTAACATACTTTGTGAGTAAATAAGGATGTTTACTGGCCAGAGGGAGTTCCTGCGTATCTACCAGCCACTACATACACCACTAGCAACTAGTCAGGTGGATTCAGACATTACAGGATGATGTGTTATTTAACCTATTCATGTCCATACCTGATGTTTCAAATCAATCCCTGTAGCTAAAACATTTTATGACTTAATTTGCCATATTAAATCTAGTCTTTTGTTCACATGGGACTACTCGTTTTTAACAAAATAGAGAATAGTTGATTGTGAATAAAATAATAAAAATGACATGTTACTACTATTAAAACTATTACTACTATTAAAGTGGTCACTGTTAGCTTTTAAAGCTTCACTATATAAGTTTTGGGGATTTGAAGACCTCTCTGGTGGAAAAATGTAATTGCATGCAGCGTGTGGAATTGTCCACCCGTAAGTGGATGAATCTGATGATTGCGTGTGCATTGAAAGGGTATTCAAAGAGAATTCAGTAAAAACTTTTGGAAGGACTTGTCGTCCGAGGATGCAAGTGAATTATCTACTTTTATCACTTCTTCATCAGTTTAATGCTGATTTTGCATTTGAGCTCTAAACACTGAACCTGAGCCTGGTTGTGTCAAGTTAATACAAAAAGACATATGACATGGTCTGAAAAACTCAGGACCCGACACCTCAGACTTTTAAAATACTATTTCAGGCTTTACTGAGTGACTTGCAGCAGCTCATGAACACTATATTTTAGCATGTTTTTTTTTCTCCTGACTCAGTAATGCCATTTGTTTCAGTTTGAACAAAAATACCTTACATAGTTCAGCTTTAATCTGAGGTATAACTATACAAAATGTATTATTTTGAACCAACTACAACAAAATCTGTCACATTCTTCCATGTTGTAGGGGAGATGGCCATGCAGAGCGGCCACTGCATGTCCAGGGGCTCTGCTGTAACTCTGCGGGGTTACTGGGATGGCTGACCCTTGATTGGGGGCTATGGAGTGTCCCGCTGCTGGCTCATGCTGATAAGGGAGCATTGGAGGCTTTGCCATGCATATCGGCCATGCACACAGGCTTTAGGAAGCGACTTATTTACAATAAATGTTTAGCAAAGCCTTATTGTAAAAAAGCTGCTGTTGTTAGCTTAAAGATGTGCACATGTGTTGTGTCATTGTGCATCAGGTAGTTTGCATGGGTTGGTGTCTACCGTGAAGGATAGTTGTGAATGGTTATAAGTGACTGTTTCAGCAGTGCTGAGTCGCCTTTAAACGCAATGTTTCCAGCATCTTTTTTCGCTGATGCCACAATAACTAATACCATACTAATTTTAGATACTGTTGATATGAACAGTTCATAGGCCCTGAGAAAGCCATTCTTTTATTCAGCTTCCCACTGCATTCTATTTCAATTAGCCTTTTTACAGTATTTCCTTTTGCTGATTTATTAAGAATTCATTAGTAAACCATCAGATGAAACTCAAATTACTGACTGTTTAACTATCTTATATTATATGGTGTCCCATAATACCTGAATCCACCACCTTTTGCTGCCATCATGCATTTTCTGTGGCTAAAACCCATCTGATCCTTTTTAATACTGATATGCAGCCATTTGGTTCATCACTGTGCCCAAATCTCCACGTTAATCGGGGGTTGAAAGGGGGTTGCCTACGCCAGGTTTGTGTGCAGCGCTGGATTACACAATCCACTAGGTCCAAGTACAAGGCCTTAAGGCCAGTCAAACTGTAATGGCAGCGCCAGTGAAGACCACGCGGTGGCGCTTGTAAAGCCTCTGCAGCGCTGCAGGCGTTGTGCTCACACTCTGGCTTCGTGTTCCTGCTGCAGATGACAGTGATGAGTCATACATGAGCACCCATCAACGTAGCGACGAGGGCTCATGCAAAGCGCATTTCCTGCTCGTCCGGTCCGCTCGTCCTTTACACAGCCAGACGTCAGCCACAAAAGGGCTTTGATTTAGTCGCTGTGCTCATGTGAGAGGAGGCGCGTTCACGTGGCTGACTGTGTGTAAGAAATAACTGGGGGGCAACAAGACCTTCCACCAAAGGTATGCCGCTGAAACGCGCCAGAAAGTGCCATTCAGCCGTTTTTTGGTCAATATTTTTGAGTATTTACGACTGAAAACCGCACCGTGGTGGAGGATGCGCAAAAGCGGCTAACGGAACGCGCGCGAGACCGAATTTGGTGAAAACACTGAAAATATACGTCGCGTGCGGTTTGTTTACGCGGGAAATGCCACGAACAGGAACAACTGACAGCAGCTCTCTTCACACAGAAGACTCGCTCGGCTAAAGGGAGGTTCGTTGCTTCGTTTTCGTCGGTTTGATGCGAACTGGCTCCAGTGTTCTGTCATGTTTGGACTGACCGGGAGATGTAAGTGCAGTCTGGCACTGTCGCTCGTCCTCTCGGCGTGCTGTGTGTTCCTCTTCTGCGAGTATGGCATCTATTTCCCCGCCATTCTGCGCTGCTCGTGGCCGGAGATGAAGCAGAGTGAAGACTCGCCCCGACCGCTGAGGGCTCTCTTCTTATCGGACCCGCATCTCCTCGGAGCCATCAGAGGACACTGGTTCGACAAACTCAGAAGGTGAGAGCAAAGCCAAAACAGAAACTAACACAGAGCTTCAGGACACCGCCTGAAACCGGTCACTGCTGCCTGGCTTTGTTTTCTGACTGGACCTCTTGACCAGGGGCGGATTTAGTGATTCTGGGGTCCTAGGCAAAAGACAAGAATGGTACCCCCGGGATGCACATTTTGAAATTAGCCAATTTTAAAATTTTGTGGGTTTATGTACCAAAACACTCATCATTTATTTCTACATGACACATTTCTAGACTCTCTTTATTCCTTAGAATTAAACAGGCTGTTTTTGTTACTGTGCCTTGAAGACTGATATATGTAAATGAGCTCTGTTATGACTGGCTAAATGTAAATAAGTTGGGTTTTTCATGACATCACAAAAACAGTTAATTCAAACCTGGCTGTTTCTAAAATGTGTGTGTATGTGTGTGTCATATTAAGTGATTTAACGTCAATACATGCAGTATATTTAATCTGTATGTTCATGGGGCCGTTATCACAATCATGGAAGTCCAGGCAGATGCATTTACCATTAGCTCATGGTGTAGTAAAGTCTGCACCGGTTTCATGGCAAACATGCATTATCCAAAATAAATATGACCAAATCTCCTGGTCCTGTAATGTGTCATTTCCTGTTTAGCGAGATTAAAGACTGTAATTCAGAGCTGGCTTTGGAAACCAGTGCTGTAGATATAGATGCATACTAAACCAGTGGAGTAGAGTGTTCATTTTTACATTTTATTTGTATGATACATTTCACAAAAGAAATTGTCACAAAGCAGCCTTATAAATGTCCATGTTCTGACCTCCAATGAACAATCCGAGGGTGACAGTGGCAGGAAAAAACTCTCTAAAAGCAGGAGGAAGAAACTCAAAGAAACCAAGACTGAAAAAAGTAACCCATCCTCCTATAGTCAACACCAGACCTGGGAACTGTAATACAAGCAGTAAGTTTACATGTTTAAACTTGCTCAAACAGCAGATCATAGAGAGGAAAGATCCATTAGATAAACCACTGACGAATGTTAAACCAGAAAAAAATATCTAGTATACTACTGATTGTGTTAGGATATTAAGGACATTAATCTGCTTAATGCCTCAATCAGTGTCACCCATTTTATCAAATGCTAAGAGCTTTGCTCGTGATTGAACCTGGTGTTATATAAGTGAAGAAAAAATTAATTGTCAAGCAAAAAAGCTCATTCAGTTACTCCTGTGTCAGCCATTGCCCTAGTTCATCCATTTCTGACCGCTTGCAAACGTCTGTGCTTATCAATTCACTTTCAACCTTAAGCCACTGTTCTGCTTCTTCTGCCTGATGCAGATATAACATGTTCAAACACGCTGACTTCAGTCTTTTTGGTGCATAAAAATAGTGGTCACAGCCCCAGTAGGCAGCCTATTTAAGGAGATTCAATAGGGCAGTAATTGGACTTTGTTTTCAGGGCTTGGCAGTGTAGCGTTCTGATGTATTGACATTTATGGCAGTTGCGAGACGCTCTTATCCAGATTGATCATTTTACAGAGGTAGACAAAGGTAGCGTTGGGAATATTTGCAAAATGACTCTTATTAGTATAGTTAAGGGTGCTTGAGGATCAAACCCCAATCTGCATCATGAAGG